TTTGGTAGCAAGTCCAGTCAATCTCGGTAGGCGGATAAGTCTAAATTTGTCGGCGTTGCCTTCAGGTGCACTGAAGAATATCTGAGGAAATATGGAATTCATCTATTGGCGCTATCGCACGTTTACCTCGTTCCGCATCTGAAGAATCGATGCAGCAAGCACTTGGCTCGAAAATTGACGATCGACAGCGTTATTGATGTACTCCAACTCGCAAGAATGTGCGATGCACCGGATCTCTCACTCAGCTGTATGAAAATGGTGTCGAGCCACTACAAGGCCGTCCAGAAAACGGAGGGCTGGAAATTTCTGCAAGAACATGACCCTTGGCTGGAGCTTCAAATTCTGCAGTTCATGGAAGAATCCGAATTGGTATAAAATTGTCCATTTTGCTGCCTCCGTTTCCGCTTGATTTCTTGTTCTCACAGAGACAAGACGAGACGGGACATGAATTCAATTCAATTCAATTCAATTGTTAATTTTGGTCTGCGATTGTTTGTATTAATTATGTGCAGAGGAAAAATAGATGCAGAAGGCAGAGGAAGGAGCAGAGGGTGTATCTTCAGCTAAGCGATGCAATGGAGTGCTTAGAGCACATCTGCAAAGAAGGGTGCACAAACGTTGGGCCGCGCGACGTGGAACCCACAAAGAAGCCCTGCGCCAAATTCTCGACGTGTCATGGGGTTCAGCTTCTGATTAAGCACTTTGCAACGTGTGCGAAGAGAGTCCACGGAGGAGCCTGCTGGCGGTGCAAACGCATGTGGCAGCTTCTACGCTTGCATGCCTCCATCTGCGACCAATCCGACGCTTGCAGAGTCCCTCTTTGCAGGTAAATTCTCAATCAATACCCCTCTTGTTTTTTTGCGCCATCGCTGGGGCTAAACTACCCTTTTTACAGACATGAAAAAAACACCTACTAATCATTACCAAACTTTGATTTGATATTATTCCTGTTTTTATCGTTGATTGACTCAATTATTTCGTTTGAAATGAAATAGTATGTGGAATTGTATTTGGATTAATTGAATATTGTTGCGGTGGGCGTCTAGGAAGTTTACACGGCTGTTTAAAAGAAAAGAAAAGAAAAAGAAAAGGAAAAAGTCTTCGGGGGATACCTTTTCCAAAAGCCGAATGATCAAACTTCCATTCCACTTTAGCGTGTTTTTAGTCAATGATGGATTGGTTGGGGTATGGAAATGAAAATTGTTGCGCGGTTGTTGGGGAGACCCAATCCAAACAATCCAATGATGATGATGGACCAAGTTCTAAACTTTGTTGGGTTTGACAGGCAATTCAAGCTAAAAATGGAGCAAGAGAAGGATGGAAAAGAGGATTCGAAGTGGAAGATGCTGGTGAAAAAGGTGGTGTCTGCGAAAACCATTTCCTCTCTCAGTCTTCCCAGAAGGAAGAGAGCGGCAGCAGAGGACACCACGAGCGGCGACCGCATCAGAAGCTTCAGATTACAATGTGTGGAACCAAATGGATCGGTGTTATGAAGAAGAGCTTAGAAGAATGTAATGCTGTGTGTTTAAAATGGAGAGTAGAGTAGGAGACTAGGACCCAGGAGAAACAGAGGCGTTTGCTTCCATCAAGTCTTTGTATTTTGTATAGGGAGGGAGGCAATGTGTTGTGGTTTGTGAGAAAATAGGGAGCTAATAAAAAGTCTTTTTGTTTGCAGTATTTCTATATATATATATATATATTTTGTTCCCCAATATTAAAACTCAGACTGCCCTTACAATCGGAACAAACCACCAACTCTTTGTTTCAACCACTCTTGGAACAATTTCAATTTCCAAGAGTTGGGCCAATGGGTTAGTTATTAAAAATTAAAAAAAAAAAAAAAAAGAAAGAAAGAAAGTTGGGGGTAGCCCAGCGGAGATCCAAACAATACTTGGAGTTGAGTCCAGGCCCGCTTCTAGAAGAAGGGCCGAAGAAGCCCAAATGAAGATCAAACTTGAGTAGTGGTATCCAGAGAAAGGAATTGTTTATTAAAAAAATAAAAAAGAAAAGAAAAGAAAAGTATGGAGTTGGATTGAAGTGGAAGCAGATAACTATAAATAATATAATGTATGAGTTTTAAGTTTGTTCGGAAGAAGGGAGAAGGATCAAAAGCGTGGCTCTCAAATTTTTATACATTAAAGAACTCAAATAAAAACAAGGCAGCACAGGAAAGCACAGACTACGGATTTATGCGTTCTTTTTAATTAATTAATTTATTAAATAAGAACAAGAAAAAAAAAAAAAAACAAAACAAAAAAGGCACGTGATTGGTGGTCGGATGGCACGGGCTTCCGGCGGATATGCGAGGACAAATATGGGCCTCTAGTTTTGATACAAGCCATTTATTGGTTTAATTTGGAGTTTTTCGTTTTTTTATGTTATTTGGACTTTTTGAGCCTTTCAGAAGACCAAGGGCTGCTTTTCTCTTTTCTTTTTCTTTCTTTTAATTGGCCTTTTTCATGCTTCAACTTTCAGTCTAAGTTATATCATTCTCTCTCTCTCAAATTTGTGGCCTTAAATCTCTCTCTCCTATTTTAGGGTTTGGTTAGTATTTGTTTGAAGCCTAAACAACCCATCAATTAACAAGACTTTGCGTAACACGAGCATTGTTCCATCAAACTTCTACTCCTTTTTGCCCAACAATATTCCACTTATCTCCTTTCCAATTTTATGGGGTTTTTGTTTATATATTATAATACTAAAAATGCACAAAACACTACAATTATTATGTTCCAGTATAATAACCGTTTTTTTCTTCTACAAATTGTATTTGTTTTACTACAATTTAGTCATATTATAATTATATTCATATTCAATTGTCAACTACATAGACCAAAAAACAAAAGTCTGTGATCAACCCGCCCTCAATTTTGATTTGCTTATTTTTCATAAATTTGATTTAACTTTTGAAAAGAGGGATACAAATAGATAACAAAACATATATAAAAAATAACTAACTCCAAGTGGGAATAACGCTTATTAATTTAATTTTGAAGAATAAAAACAAAAATAAAACTAAATGAATATGATTAATGTAAATTAAATAAATGGGCAAATATGAGTGATGCAATGAGGATAGGATAAGACGGCAACGTCTCCATTTAATTCGATCTTTTAAAAGGGAAAAAAAAAAAAAAAGGAAAAAGCAGTAAAAGTGCAAAGTGGGTCTTGTGATGACAGCTCATCATTTTATTTTCCACGTCTTTTTCAGGGACCAAACATTTGGAGAAGGACAGCTGTCCATCTCTCTGCCACACATTAATTATTCTCTTTTACAGAAATTAAAATAAAGTAGTCGGTGTTTTTTTATTCAGCCATCAAAATGTTATCTCCTTCAAATTTGGCTAATGCCACATCTAAATCATTCTTTTCCATTTCTGATTTTCCAAAACCTTCCGTCAATATATTTTTTTAAAATTTGTTTTATTGCGCCCCAATTTTATAATTTTTTTATACCAATTTAAATCGATTTAAAACAAAATAAACTCTTTCTAATTTACAAAAAAGAAAGAAAAATCAATACTATGGTTAAGCGAAATTCATAAATTTGACAAATATAGCATTAAACCAAAATTAACAACATATCCTATTCCTAGGTGTAATTGATGTCGGTATGTTTTTAACCCTACAAGAAATTTCATTTTCAACGACAAGTTTTAGCAATGCAAGAAAATTAAAAAATAGTATTAGCTGCTACGTGAAATAAGAGTTAATTTCTTTGGATTAGTTTAATTGTTATGTTTGTGATTCTTATATGAGTGACATATTATTGTTGATAAAAATACAGTTAATGACAAGCTTACATGTGACTAAACATACATATTAAGTGACATGCTTAATGTCTAGCAACATGTAACATGTCACTAGTATATAATTATATTTGATGTGTATATGTTCCTTATATGTAGCCTGTATAAGGTTAGATAATGAAAGTGTACTATTTGAATCATTTATGAGAAAAGAATATTGCTATATATGCGAAATAGTGATGTCCACTAGAAACCAAAGAAAAAAACAAAATCTAATCTTGGTGGGGGGGAAGAGAGATCCAAAATAGAGAAGAGATGTGATGCAAGTGTTTGAGTTGTAAAATCATAGGGTTATTGGGAAGGAGGTGACAGAGAGACAATAATTGGTGGAATTGAATTTCACACACAGACACCAACACACACAACAAAGATCGGGCTCACATTAATTTCAATTATTTCCCCTGTTTCCATAAGGACAAGACATTTAATATTATCTCTAAATCTTTGTTCAATCATTTTAATACTTCTTTCATGAACTTACCTTTTGCGCACTTTTCACTGAACTTGGTTGGTTTTTAAAAAAAATTGTCCACGTTCATATAATTCTTATTTTTAAAAGGATTATAATAAACTTTTAAATTCTTCACTGGATATATCCTAAATTTAACATATTGAACATGAAACACCTAAAGGCAGAGTAACTGATAATAAATAAAAGGGCAAGAAGAGTAGATATTTGTAAGTTGTGAAAAAGAAATAGAAAAAAGGGGTTAAATAAACTTGGTGGAGAAAAAACAGAGAGACGGCAAATAAGGAGAGAATAAAGTGGCAATAAGATAGGGAGTATTTGGACGCATAGATAGGAACACATTGAAAATGAAAAAAGGGAAAGGAAAAAAGAAAACCATCTTCCTATACCAGTCAACACTGCCCTAAAATATCTAATTTTCAGTTAATAATGTGTATTTTTCCTAAATTGGGATTTTATCCACCCACCCTTCCGGCCTCCCCTTCGATATATTTCTCAAAGATGTATGCTTTATTTTGTAAGAAACTGAAAAAATGGTAATAAAAGGTAGGGCGAGAGAGTGACGCGTGTAGGTGGCAAAGTGGAAGCTGAGCCACAAGATTCAGAGGGCTTCTGGAGATTTCCATGTGGAATTAATAAAACCCCTCAAAATATATGCGTCTGACGTGTCGCCCTCTCCCCTTCCTTCCCCTTCTCTCTTCTCTCTCTTTTTTATGCCCTCTCTCAAATCCCATCTCCTGCTTTTCTCTCTGCTGCTCTCTCCGTTCTTCTTCGCCTCTTTCTCAATCTCTCACCTTCGATTCTCCTTCTCGCTTGAATCTATCCATTTCTCTGCCTTGCTTAGATTCGCAGTCTACTAACCAGGTTTCTTTTTTCTACTCTTTACTCTTTTTTAATTTTTTTTTTTTTTTTATTCCGTGTCTTTCACTTCAATGGTTCCTTCCTTTTTCTTTGTGGACGTATTTTGTGTTTACTGGGTCTCCTGAGGACTTCAATTTTGGAAACTAATCCAGGAAGTGGTGGCTTTGGAGGAACGGAATGGCATCTGATTAATTCCCAAATCGTGCTGAACTTTTGTGAATTTTAATTTCAGGTCCTTTTGGTGGACTGAGATTAAACTTTCTTGCCGGTTTTGCTGCCAGCGCTGATGGGTGTCCAGGTAACCATCCTACACACTGGTTACCCTCCTTTCTCGTTATCTTCTGATGTTTTCATGGAAATTTTCTCTCTGGGAGTTGATTGATTGGTCATAGGTTCGTGGGTTGTGTTTATTGTCGTCCCTCTGTTAGGATTTGAGTACCCAATTCCTGTCTTTTTAGTACTCATATCTCACTTCCTGGTTTCTTTTAAATCTCTTTGCCACTTCAGTAACCTAACCCCTGTGGCCCTGTCTTTTACTAAGTAATTGACTGCAAAATTGGGCCAAAATTTTATCCTTTCACTAATTTGGTTGTGTTTTTTTTTTTTTTTTTATTGCTTGGTTCGATGTTGGGTAATACTGAGTGCCACCAATAGATCCTCTTGTAATTTACAAGATTCCTCCTTTGTTGGTGGATTTATATTATAAAGTCAACTTTTTTCCCCTTCTTCTGCACTTTTACCTGCCGAGTACTCCTACGGACTTCAATTTTATTTTACTGCCTAACATATTGAGCTATGCATTGCTTTGCTACAAGGGTTAGAATGTTATCATTTTATGAAATGGATTGCTGTTAGTTGATGATGGAATTCTAAAACTATCATTAGCTCCAATTTCTTGTGGTCTCTAACTTCTGGTTTTTGTTATTATTATTTCAATATGGAATGTAGGAAAAGAATGAAGGCACACTGTCAAACGGCTCAATTGCTGCAGCTAATAATTGCCTTCCCAAGGATGGGGCACAGTTGGATCCACTGATGCGCGTCAGCTCCATATCCTCCAACAGTAATGAAAATGCTTTGAAGGTAGCAGACTTAACTGCTACGATTTCTTCACTTCTCTTTCCTTTCTGGGAGGGTTTGGCTCTGAATTATACTGGCATTTTGATGTATCAACAGGTTAGGAAGCCTTACACTATTTCAAAACAAAGGGAAAAATGGACAGAGGAAGAGCATCAGAGATTCCTCGAAGCTCTTAAACTCTATGGTCGTGGCTGGCGTCAGATTAAAGGTAAGGCAGTGTGAAATCAGTAATATGAATCTTGGTATTTGCAATACCCAACCCATCATTTAGTGTTACCTTGGTCTTCCTGCAGAACATGTAGGCACCAAAACAGCTGTTCAGATCCGAAGCCATGCTCAGAAATTCTTCTCTAAGGTCAAAAAAATACCTTTTGTTTTCGTGCCCCCAAAAATATATCATTACCAAACAAAATATAAAGGGATGACAGTGAATTTGTCACCAAAATAGATCGTCGCCAAACCTTTTACGTAACTTCTTACACACTTTATGCACGACCATTCTCACCCTGAAATTTTATGTTGTCTTTTGTGTTTCAGGTAGTGCGAGAGTCTAGTGGCAGCAATGAGAGCTCCATTAACCCAATTGAGATTCCTCCACCTCGACCAAAAAGGAAACCAGTGCATCCTTACCCTCGTAAAGCAGTCGATTCAATTAAGGCAATATCAGTCGCAAGAGAACCCAAGAGGTCTCTATCACCAAACCTATCAGCTGCAGAAAAAGAGACCCAATCACCCACCTCTGTACTGACTGCATTTAGTTCGGATGATCAAATTTCTGCGGTTTCGGAGCAACATAATAGATGTCCATCGCCTATTTCACAAACTGTTGACATGCAGTCAGCTAGAATATCATATGTTCGAAAGGGGGAGTTGTACCTTCCATCAAAATCAAATGGAGGAGAAGAAAAAGGAATGTTATCACTCGAATCATCCTCAGAGCGGTTCTCAGAAGACTCTTTAACTATGGTAATTTGAAATGTCCTTTTAACTTTGCACCTTACTTTCCTTCATATACTTAATTCGATGTCTAGGATCTGACTATTTTTTTTTTCTCTCGTGCCTAAACATTCAGAAATTCAAGCGAGGATCAGCATGTAAGAAAGTAGATAACAAGTTGCATTTCCCAGTTAGAAGTATAAAGCTTTTTGGAAGAACAGTAATGGTAACTGGCGACAAACAACCACCCGGTCATGATTTTGAAGTCACTAAATCTTTGGCATTTGACAGTGACAGTAAGAATACGTGTGAAGCGTATGCTGAGAAAACTATTCAGATACTACCTTCAAAACATATGGATGTAAATTTATCTCTTGGAATGGATAACAACGGTGATTGGAATATGTCACCCGGTGGAGCCCCTACGAACACCTTAGGGAATCAGGACAAAAGTGTCCCTTATGTTAAAGCCATGCCTAATGCTCCTCAAACTTGTTGGTCTTTGTATCAAAATGTACCATTTTTTTATCTTGCCCAATCTGATCAAACTTCAACTGGAACATGCACTGACCATGTTATGGAAGAAAGGATCCAAAATGACAATTTCCTGGAAAGTTCTTGTGCGGATTCATGTTCTGGCTCCCCGAGTAAGAATGAAAACAAAAACCAGAGCCCCGAAGTAAAATGTCAAGAGCCTTGTCTGGTAGGAAGAGGTAATGCAAATGAGAGTAAGAAGGGGTTTGTGCCTTATAAGAGATGCTTGGCTCAGAGAGATACAAGCTCCGCGCTGATTGTTTCAGAAGAGAGAGAGGGTCGGAGAGCTCGAGTTTGCTTATAACCTCAGCAACAGATTTAAGGTCGATAAAAGCAAATAACCAACGATGCTTTGACATGGGTTTCTGAGTTCTCTCTTTTGCTTGAAATGAAAAAAAAAAAAAAAAAAAAAAAAAAGGATGCCTGATTTGTAGCATGTCACATCTAAGGTTAACAGAAGGGACGAAACTGATGGAGTTGCCCAACAACCTCTCTCCAGGCTATTCCTTTTTAACATTGGGGGGATTTGAATGACAATTATTTATTCTGTAAAACAGAACGGTGTTGCTCCATGACTTTTGACATATTTGCAAATCTTACTTCTTGAGGTTTTTATTTCTATCTTCATAATGGAAAAGGTTTGATTTCTCAGCGAATAGAGATTGAAAGAGAGTGCTGCGATTCTTAGAACAAACTTGGTTGAACTCCCTAGTGGAAATGGTTCGATTTGAAGGCAAAAAAATGTTGGAAGGGTCAAATATTTAATCATCCTGAAGGTGAAGAATGAAGAGCACTTCAGGGACAAAAGAATCCAACCTTTCAAGCATCCAATCCTAAAGAATCGTGTTATTGATCCAAAATTATTTTTTTCACTTTCGTGCTTGAAGGATGAAGAAATGATCCAAAGTAATTGGAAAGTCCGTCCTTCCAAGGATGAAGAAATGATTTTCTCCCCATCAACTTTGTTGACAATAAACATAAGCATTTTCTAACCACAACCCATCCTTGACCACAAAATTAATAATTAGATTGCGTCTTCTTGTTTCAAATTATGTTCCACAATCCCCCGCGGGTCCATGTCTGGTACGGGTACCCCCAAAAAGCCGTCTTAATACTTTTGGAAGTCACCGCTACTCAGGATTTAAGCATTCTTATTCTTGTTACAGCCTGTGTTCTTTGACCATAGCCCATATCTGAGTTCATATTTTGGTTAGGTGATCCACTTGACCAAATCCTCAATAATAATACCGTTTATTTCTAGAGAAAATGCTGTTCCTCAATTACACTTCGACCATATCAACATCAAGTTTTCTCATACCAATAACGACAACGCAGAGGCCATCAATGTATGTATTTATATTCCTAAAATAAATAACGGCTCTTTCGAAAATGGATCTGAGGGAAACAATGATCTCTGTGTACGAGCTTTAGCTAGAATTTTCTTTAAGGCCTTAAGGGCCTCGGCGAAGCTCGGATCTGGATTGTGCAACTTCCACAAATATCACCCTGCCATCCAAACTAAACCAAAGAGTTTCCCCCTTAGCCCCCATGAAACTATTATACTTGAAAATAACATGCACCGAAAAAATTTAAGACAAGATGATCAAAGATCCTTTTTCTATCGAAAAAAAACCATAATCAGTTGGCACAGATCAAACCCTCTCAGCTATAAGCTAGATTTCAAAATTAGTCTTTTTTGCTTGAGATGACATCGAAATTTTATCCATGGAATCCGAGATAAGAGTATCTTATCAATTCATGTTTCCCAATGAGAAGAGGTGGGGAGGGCATATCCACCGAATAAACCTGAGAATAAGTTCTTTGAATATTCATTTCGACAAACATAGTTGTCATTACAAAATTGTTGGAAACCACCACGAGGCCAAAGAGTGCCTCATATTTAACAGTACTTCGGCCAGTTATGGAGCTCGGATACACAAATCGTTCGTTAAAAACACACATTTACTGAAATACGTATTGTTTGAGTTTACTTCAAAATAAACCCTCCTTATAGCAAGGTCATAAACAGTGATCGTTTATGACAAGTCAAGCCAGCAATTAAGGTTTGACCATGATATTTCTCTAATCAATTCTCTTCTAGGTCCATAATAAATTATACTGAATTTTATTACAATTGACTCATCATGTCGAGTATTCTAGAAACGTTGATATTTTGGTTATAATGTTCCACAACTGGGAAATGAAGCAATATTAAGAATACATGGATCTTCGAAGCTACCTTAGATCTATTATATCCAACTCCTCCTATCTAGATATCTATAATCTAGCTAAATTTATAGAGAATTTGAGGGTAATTTTCTGCTTTGTAATGCCTAAACTGGAGTCCATTTATAATTTTTCGTAGTATCTAGTTGTGCATTCTATAATTGTATATCATAAGGTTGAGGAACTGAACTTCGCAATTACTAGATTAAAGTCATTTAGAGCACTTATAGATGGATCTGTCTTCGGCTAAAGGAAATATACTTATGGACAGCGAATCACATTCATAACAAAATCACAGTGAATAAGAAAAGAGCATTAAGACTGGCTAATTCAAATGAGACATCACTTCGCGACGCACACTTTGAGCATTAAGTGAATTTTGGCGATTAAGTCAACAAAAATATGAATTATGAAGACTAGACGCATTTGTAAGAGGTTAGACAGAGTGGAGATTGCAGAGATGGAGGTTTTAAATTACCTGGCGGTGCATTCTTTCAATAGCTTTTTGAGATTCCTCTTCAGTAGCATAACTGAGGAAGGCAAATCCTCTTGGTCGATTGGCTACCTTATCCATCACCAAATTGACTGAAACTTATCACAATTGGTAATAGTTAGTGCCAAATATTAGCTATTGAATTGTATTAACAAAATGCACCAAATATCAGCTAGTCGACGACCTTATACAAGTTGATCAAAGCTTTTGAAGGCATTTCGCAAGCTCTCTTCAGTAATCTGGAATGAAAGTCCTGCGCGCTCGAAGATGGAATGATACAATAAATCCAAATTGTCTCCACAGACATCGTTACCAAAATTACGCCTAAATGAAGTGCAAAATACACAATTGAGAGAGAAAATCAACCACTGACGTAGAGAGCCTGCTTGAAGGCGCGCATCATCTTGGAGAAGGCGAAGGTGAATTGACGCATGCCACTGGAAAGAACGGTGAATCTGAAATTGAACGAGTCTTCGTAGAGAAGAAGGGGAGTGGCGTATTACCGTAATTTTTTCACCAGTCCCCTTCGTAAATGGATATTATTGTTATTATTTTATCTTTAAATTATGAACGATAACAAATTTTAAAATTTTGGACTAAATACTTTACTTTATTTTATAATTTGCACGGTGAAAACTTTTGATGAAAGTATATTGACTGCACGGTAAAAATAGGTACAGTAGACGAAGTGTGTGGAACTTGTCGACTAGCGTTCAAGATTTAAGAACGTGAAGGCAAATATTGGAGGGAAAGAGTCGAGAATCTTAAGATCGAGATTTAGTTGGATGAACAGAAATTTGTAGGGTTCGGTTCCTTTCATCATGAATTCTGTAAGCACAAAATCTACGGCGGTGCTTTATCACTATCCATGTCCCGACGGCGCGTTCGCCGCTCTCGCCGCGCATCTCTACTTCTCCGCCGCTTCTCTACCCCCTCTCTTTTTCCCCAATACCGTCTACAATCCCCTCAGGTAGTCTTTTCTCCTGCATTTACCTTCAACCTTGTTGCTTAAACTCTGCACAAACACGAAACTTCACTTTTTAACTCTACTTTTTCTTTCAGAACGGACCAGCTTCCCCTGCATCAAATTGACGACGTTTATCTTTTGGATTTTGTGGGGCCGTTTGGATTTGTTGAGGACCTATCTTCTAAAGTTAACAGGTGTTTTTGATGTTCCATGCCCCATTCTTTATGGTTCTTTTTTTCTTTTGATGAACGTGTAATGTCTTTCCTGTGAGTGAATTTGAAATGATTAAAATTACTTTTCATGTAAGTGAGTGAATTTGAAATGATTAAAATTACTTTTCATGTGAGTGATTTTAAAATGATTAAAATTACTTTTCAGCTCCATTAAACTACTCTAAATTTCTGGGATTTGGAGGGAAATGGTTGATGCAAATCTGATGTTTATGGTGGTGTCTGTAACTTTGAATGTTATGAACTTTCGCGTCTAACTCTAATCTCCTTGAGTCATTTAGAAAATTTCTGTAGAACGAATCCTATGGATATCATGGAACAAGCTGAGCCTGTTCCAGTTCCATGGTGGGCTCTTCTTCTTAATGTTATTTATTAAGTTATTATGGTTGCTTAGAAATTAATGCTCTTTTTCCCTTTTTTGTATCTCCTCAAGAGTGATAATACTGGACCACCACAAGACGGCTCTTGAAAAGCTCAGCGATGAGTCTTCATTTGGTGAAAACGTGACTAAAGTTATAGATATTCAAAGAAGTGGAGCTACAATAGCTTTTGACTATTTCAAGCAAAAGCTAACACAAGATGCTCACGGGAATTTTGACGTTGGTTCTTCCCATTACAAAGTGCTAAATGAATTTGAGCGCATGAGGAGACTTTATGAATACATTGAGGATGGCGATCTTTGGAAGTGGAGTCTTCCAAATAGTAAAGCTCTTAGCAGTGGTTTCAAAGATTTGAATATTGAATATGATACCCTTTTGAATCCTAACTTATTTGATCAGGTAATTTCTCCATTTTCGTTATTGGTTTTTGAGATTGTTCTCGCTCTGACAGTTATCTGATTTTCTGATACCTGAGGATGCACGGCTGTTCAAGCTTGTTTGTCTAGACATCAAGTGTCTTCTTTATCGCTTATGTGTTTTTGCAGTTACTATCTCTGGATATGGAGACTATGATTAGTCGAGGGATAGCAAGTTTAGCACACAAACAAAAATTAATAGAGGATGCTCTTTATCAATCGTATAGCATTACACTCGGTGGTGGAGCTTTTGGACGTTGTCTGGTATGGCCACTAGTCCCACTCTCATTACCTTATATACATCTTTCTAGCAGAATTGAAATTTGTTATTTATCCCGTTGTCTGAATTATTAATAAAACAAGTAGTCGTTTATGTTGGCTTGATTAAAACTTATAAAATAGTTGCTATGAATTCAAGCAACCAAATGTGTTTGAGGTCTTCGTTCTTGGTCACGAGCTTTATTTTTACTGAATTTTGCTTTTCAATAGGCTGAGTTCTTCTATACCAAATGAACAATCATCAATTCATGCTGGTTGGTGCCCTTTAAGTTATTTAAGAGAGTGGAGCTGGAAATTGGAAAATAATTAAGGTTAAGAAATAGGCCAAAATGAAGAACCTTTACATTCTCTGATTTTGTTCCTCTCCTCTCCCAATAGGCTGTTGATGCAGATTCTATTTCAGAACTAAGGAGTGAATTAGGACACCAATTGGCTACTAAGAGTCAAAATTCAAATTTAAGGTAAGACAATTGTTCTGCTTATATGATCTTACCTGCGCTTAAACTTACATTATGGTGGTGTCTACATTGCTCATTGTTCCTTCACCTTTACTTCTGGAATGTCTTGTTTCCTTTCTTCTTTTTGTTATCTCTGGCTGTGTTCTTTATTGATTTTGTCGTATGAAGGCTTCAAGTCTCACTCATAAAACATGTAATGGCCTTAAGTTCTTGTTTTTAATGACAGGGAGGTTTAAACAAACAGCCTATCAACCCATCTTCTAAGACTAAAGATAAATCTTTTCAATTTCTCCTCAATTTAAAAGACAACTTTTGCAGTTTATTTCCATTCACTTTGAATTCCTGCAGAGGCATTGGGGCTGTTGTATACCGAGTCCCGGCACTTGGGAATGACCAGATGTTGAAAATAAGTCTCAGAAGTGTTCGTGACGAGGACACAACTCGTATCTCACAGGTTGAATGCTTCGTCTTATCTATAGAAATCAAACATTTATCCAATGAGCTAATAATGGTGATGATTGTTGAAATCTCAATCTCTATGCTTCCAGGAATTCGGAGGTGGGGGCCATAAAAATGCGAGCTCCTTCATGTTAAGCTCAACAGAATTCCAGAAGTGGAAGATTTGAATGATGCACACAAGTAGTTGCAGTCATGAAGTAACTTAATGGGACTGATTTCATCTTTTTATTCAAGGCAATGTTATAGCCATGTGACATAGCAGCAGCCAGCATCTGTGAAGATTGCTCATTATAACCCTTCCCTCATCTCAAAGATTTCATCCGGGCGGGATATGAAATAATGTTAATTTCTGAACTTATAAGTGGAATGAATAAGTTGTTCTCAAAGATTTCGGCAGCGTTTGAGATGGCTCGACCGTGAGGCAATCTTGTGAAACTGGAGTATGGTTTCCTGTGAACTGCTTGTAGATAATATGGATGGCTTTATAAAATTGAAAAAAAGGGAAAGGAATCTGTATATATTGCTGTTCTTCTTATTGAAGTAAACACTGAGAGGTCAGAGATCAGATAAATCACCAAAATATATTCCATAGAGTCTTGTTCATAGTTGATTGATTTGACCCTACAGAACTCACCCACCACACCCAGCATCCAAAATACATAATCTACATATGGAAATTGATAAGTCTGACCACCCTCGAGAGAGAGCTGGTTGGTATGGATTATTATGGTAAAGAAGAAAATTAAATGTATAAAAGTTATGTATGGTTTCAATGGGTGGTGAAAGTGAGGTGAGAGAGATCGTGGAGGGCGATGGGTGATGAATTGGAAGCACACCATGCATCTTCTGTAATGAACTGCATCCATGAATCGTCCTTTTCTTCTTCCTCGACACAAGATGACGAAGGTGGTGGCATGAGAACATCAGGGGATAAAGTTTCGTAATCATTGACCAAAGTTTGTGATGTTGAATTTGAGTTGTCTATAAATGACAAACTGCTGCTGCTGCTTTGCCCGCTCAATTGTTCTTCCACCTCCGAACATATTCCATTTTTCTTGAACACTCTACACAACGCGTAAGAATCCTGCAACCCAATACACAAAAACGCTCCAATTTTCATATCCCATCTCATTTCTCTCCACCTTTTTTATCTTTTTCTTGTCCTTTAATCTCCGATCTAAGCGTTGTTCAACTGATTTTAACATGCATCTTTCGCTAATTTATAGAGGTTGTACATAATGAAAAAAAAGGGATGATTTTAGTGATGGGAATAAAGTGAAAAGTGGGAAGACATCTTCTTACACCAAAAAAAAAAGCAAATGGTAGGGACTTTTCTTTCGGTTTATTTTGGTAGTTTATCATTTTAAATACGATGAGGGAATCCAACTCTCAGAAATAGATCATCTAAGATGCTGGAAAGACAGAATCAAATCACTGGTTTGTGTGTGTGAGTGTGTGTTTTAAGTCATATGGGATACCACTTTTGTTTCGTTTGCCGTAACAAAACAAAACCCCAACTCAAACTTTATCACTTCAAAGATGGAATATGTACTCTGATCATTATGAAATTACGAAACATGTGATTTCAAAATATAACTGTACTTAAATTGATAATTATCAATCAATTAAAAGGTAAAATATGAGTGGAGTAAAATCAACATTATTAAGATATCAATACCTGAATACCAGAGCTGTCTTCACAATCCTTGTCGTCCAGGCGATATTCATGCATGACCCAGTCGGTCCTAATGCCTTGAGGGGCTCGGCCTCTATAGTAAACAAGTGTTTTTTTCATCCCAATGGCACGTTGATGAGAAGTCACTCGCCTGTCTTTTCCAGTTGACTTCCAATACCCCGCTCTCGTGGCTCTGTTTGTTCTAAACCCATTTGGATACTTCCTATCTCTCGGCCCAAAGAAGTACCATTCCGGGTCTCGACTGGGCAGAAACGACTTTTCTACAACAAATATGATTGTTTCTAGTTTCTCAATTTCAAGTTTTCAAAAGAAATTCCATAAAATGAGTAGAGAGGGAAAATTGAATTGAATTAACCTGATAATTCCCAAGGCTCGCATTTGTAGAGATCGACCTCTGGAATGATATCAAGCTCGATTACTTGGCCACTGATCTTCCTCTTGAGATAGTAATTGACAAGCTCTTCATCGGTGGGATGGAACCTGAACCCTGGAGGCAACCCCACTGGCGCCATTTCTTTCCCCGGTTCCTTACCAACAACACTGGTTATTCAGAACCGAACTCTTTTCCCACATCGCCAAATCCCTATATATTTATATATATATATATATATATATATATATAAATGGGACTTACTCAAAGTGCCTTCCTCTCTTTGAGTATCCTTTTCTTTTCNTTTTTTTTTTTTTTTTTTTTTTTTTTTTTTTTGGCCTCTCTCTTCCCTTCTCTCTCTTTTGTAGATTCTTGGACAAACGTTTCACAGAAGCCCTTTACTTGTAACTTCACACCTAGAGTTTGCCTTTAGTTGCTTCTGCGCTCACCTTCGCGCCCATGATTCACTCAAAATCACAACTACTGCAAAATAAAGAGATGGAAGAGGAGAATGCGTCGTGTCTGCCTGGCATGCATAGCAAGCCGAAGACAGCCTCGGTCAGCCTGGCACCTCCTCTCTTTCTTACCATAATACGTATTCCTTTTGTTTACATGTATGATGTAGTTTTAATTGACCATAATTGGAATGTCGGCACCGCTCGCGTGCTCTGTCATTCATTCTCCTTACGCTTATTTGTTCTTGTTTTTCAATATTCCTTTCGATCCTTAAAGGTTCTTTGTTCAAGTGTGTTCTTCAATTTTTCCCCTTTCTCCTTCTTAATTAAGTGTGTGTTTGAATATCGCTTCTATATTGTATCATAATGCTTCTTTTAATCTCAGTAATTGTTATTCATATAATCTCTTCCACCATCAAAATTAAAGTTCATATAATTGTCAACATCTTGATTTTGACGAGCAGCGTAGAGCCCCGGAGGAGCTTGTCAATGATCTCACCCACTTAGCATCAGCCACTGGAAACCGCTGCTGGGCGCTGTAATTTGGCTTTACGCCTCCTCGCCCCACACCAATCTGTTCAAAGGAAGCTCCATTTTCAAAAACGTCTCCTACGGAATGAAACTTCCATTTTGCCGCCTCTACTTTCCCGGTGCTCCATACAATCTGCCATTGTTATTCACACAAAATAAATTACAATCTCTAATCGATATTTTGTAAACCCGGAAATGGAATGATTTAGTTTATGTCATTATTGCCTGTTTTAATTTTGATGCGATGAACAGGTTGGCTTCACTCTTGACGCTTGGATTCATGCTCCCTCCAATTGCGTATTGCGTCCATCCTTGGTACAAATTGTTCGCCACGTGCGCATACCCATGTCGGATCCTATAAAACAAATGATTTTAAACTAATATCATATTAACCACTGGTCCAAGTTAACCACAGTAAATTTATAAACAAAGAATTCATACATTTTCAGTACGAGCATTATTGAGAATACAAACCAAAGCCTGAAAGTCGAAGAGGACAATATAATATCACTGTAAAAGTTTCGTGAATCCTAATAGTTACCTGGGCATCCTTTGGTTGCAGTTGGGTCCAAAATGGTTATAGATGACGGTGACTCTCATGTTCTTGTCTCGGACATAGCCGTCCTCGTGGCCGAGAAGAATAACCTTGTCTTGGTCGCGGAACCAATTGTTGGAAATGGTGATGTCAGTGGAGCCTCTGGTGACGTCGAGCAGCCCATCCTCGCAGCGGTACAGTGTGTTGTGGTCAATCCAGACTTTGGAGGCTGAAACTAAACGAATGGCATCGCCGTCCACGTGTCCAAGTGAAACCAACTTGGAATTAGGGCCCATGACTTGGCCTGCGCCCTGAGCCTTGCAGTGGTGGATGATAAGGCCGTGGATTATGATGTTGGTGGCCTTGGAGACCACCAGGCATGCATTCCCGGAGATGTGGACGCTGGCCCCTCGCCCGTCGATGGCTGTGTAGCTGCTTATGAGAAGCGGCTTGTGGAGGAGGATGTGCATGCCTTTTTGGAAGGTGATCCAGACTTTGGACTTGATCATTGTGGCGCCGTATCGGAGTGTACCTGGGCGTGGGTTTATAGGGTCGTCGCTAGGGTCGGTGACTTGGTAGCGTATGAGATTTCTTCCGATGTTGTTGGTCATTTTTCCAACGAAACCCACCGAGCAAACGCCCAGTTGTTGCCTGTTTCTCCTCCAGTACGGGTTCGATCTCCAGCATCTGTCAATGGCGTTCATCTTCAGCCCATTGCCTTCTGAATAAGAAACTGCGGAGAGGAGAGTGAGGGAAATAAGAGACAGAACAAACAGTTGTGTTGCGCCCATTTTTGGTTGATTGTTGCTGCTGTGGTGAAGACTTCTGGGTGCGGGGGTTTGATTTTATATGAACAAACTATGAAGACAGTGGAGGAGTTTTTAATTTTATTGCATGCCTTCACCTTTAAATTCTTCCTGAACTGGCTTTAAATGCAAGTGGGAGTTGTAACTTCTTCTTCATTCTGCTCCTCCTTTAATTAATGTCTGATAAATGACATTACTTTTGAGGAAAACCAATTTTTTTTTTTCCATTCAATAAACCTAATGTTTTTTTTTTATTAAATGCCTTTATTTTATGGAATTTTTGATATTTCTAAAAAAATAATTTTAAAAAGTACTTCATTATTTATATTAGGTGAAAAATTAGTAACGATGTAATGGATATGCCCAAAATTTCATATCCCAACAATAACTCTGTTTATAAAATCAATCCAACTGTACATAAAGATATAAATTATAGACTTATGGTTACAATATAACAACTTTATTTATATATGAATATAAATTACAAAATTGGGATATTAATTACATGTTTTGGATCAATTTCATTTACCTTACATATAATTCAATTTAATCAACGATAATTAAAACTCATTAATAAATAACTAAATTAGAGCGGGCCCTTGGAGTCCAGTGTAGGCCCAGCGGGCCAAACATTGTAACCCACAATCAGACTTTGGGGACCACCATCTATGGTTGTCTATGGCTTCCACGTTCGCCGATGACGGAATCAAACGGTTGTACACTACAACTAATTTTCCCAATAAATAAATAAGTTAGCAAAACAAAATTAAGAGCATATATTTTTATGTTTTAAACATTGTAACAACATCTTAAAATCATTTTTTTTTTAAATAGAAAACTACAGGAGGGATCCGAAATTAATAGGTTTTTTTTCCTGTAATTTTTCTAATGACTTAAAATTTTATAATGAGAATAATAATAATAATAATAATAATAATAATAATAATAACTTGCCAAACATATATTTATATTTAATTCAATTAATCAAGGCTTATGACAGGGATAAGAACGTCCAAAAATATTGTCCGGCATGCTTTTCCTTTTTAATCAAAAATATAAGAATGATAATGATATGCGTTCATTTAAAGTGAATAAGGACATATGTGTGATTAGAATAAAAGGCACAAAAAAAGGGGGAAAATAGTGGAGAAGATTTAATTTGATTGGACATTTATTAAATTTAAAAAGGTGTTTAGTAGGGTGAGCTCAACTTGCAAATATAAATTTGTTGGAGTTATTTTTAACAAATTCCATTTTTTTTTAAAGAAAATAAAGAATAATTCTTTATAGGCCATATTAATTTAAAAAATATCGAAACTAGATTCTTAACATATTATAGGTAAGCCACTCATAATTTTTGCTTGGTTTAAATGTGGTGTATTTGATTTAATACACTATTCTCTATTATAATGGGTTGGTTACCATAATCAAAAATTGAAAATTTCATATCGTTATTAATTATTATTATCACTTGTCACATTTATTTATACACCAAATAAGAAAATAAACATTTTTACTAGTGAATGTAATACGTTAAATCTATACAAATTATTTGAGTATGCCATGCTTTTCCTGAGTCCTAATTGCGGTGTTTTGTCTTTTTCTATGAATACAAGGTTGCAAATCAAATTTAAGCTTAATATTTTTAGTTATATTAAAATTTTAATTTCATCCAATAACTTTAATCTATTTTGTTTAATTCGCTCAGGGCATTTAAGAAAAATAAAAAATTAATGGGTGAATAATTTTGTCAAAACCAAAGAAAATTAACAAAAGTAAAGCTATATAAATTGGAAAGAGGGGGAATTAAGCTGATTGAAAACTGTTTACAATTATAGTTATCGCGAGGTGAGACGAGGGGTAAGTAATAATGGGAACGGGACTACGGCGGAGCGTGAAGAACAGTCGCTGCCAGGCAAAGATGCGTGTCAATTCGGGAGAGCGAGTAGAGAAAGGGAGATTTAAAGGTATGGAGAGAAACGCCGCAGGGGATAGTGGGATGGTGGTGTGATTAGCCGTTGGGGGCCAATCATGTGAAGTTCAGACACTACCCGTGTATCCAGTTATCCCGTTCCGTTCCACTTATTGGACGGGCCCACCACCAACCTGGAAATGACACGTAAGCAACACTAAAGACTTCCCACGTAAAACGGTAGACCAGTCATTGTCTTGACATATGCCACGGAGGACGGAGGGCTCGGCAATAATTAAAATTGCTTTTTAATTTTAATTTTTTTTTTTTAGGGGAGAGGGATGGAGTTGTCTTTTTCGAAGACCTGCTCAGTGCTTTATATGTAGGGTGTGGGTAGGCATTATAGGGCGTTCTTCCAAAAGCAAGTGAGAGTAACAAAAAGTGTAGTGTAGTGTAGTGTATTGTAGTGAGTGGAGAGGCGAGGCGTAGGCGAAACCAAGGGCTTTTTCTCTCTCGGCTGTTCTTTATTATTACCTTTCTCTGGCTCTCTCGTTCTTTATAGCAACGCGAAGCGACGCTGCGGTTTCTGTGGCTCTCTGTTTGTTTCTTTTTTTCACTACTCATTTTCATCACATCGCTACCGGCGCTTTTCCGGCCACCATACTTGCTCGTCTGAGGTTAGTCATCAACTAATTTTGCTTTTAGGTTTTCGCCGTCTTTACTCGTTTCTTCCATTTCTCAATGCGTTTGGTTTTTTTGTCTGATTTTCCTTTTGATTAGGCTCTGATTTCCTGCTTTTACATTTTCTTCAACTGTCTGTGGATCTACTCTATGTTTCTGTGGTCTTTGCTTTGCGAGTTACTTTCTCATCTCTGTCGTCAGATCTTTCCATTTCTCTCCTCTTTTATTTTTTATTTTTAATTTTTCCCCCTTCATAACCGTTTTTTTTAAACTGGTTTTCTCTTCCGTCGGTGTGAGATCGCTAGATCCTGTTCAGCCATTTATTGATTCCTTCTTACTTTGGACGTCTTCCAAACCTATTGTCTTGTGCTTGAGTTAGGGTTTAATAGTTAAATGTTCGTTTTCGCGTCGACACTTCGGCTGAAAACTATTTTCTATAGTTAGGGTTCGACTTCTCTTTCTACATTTTTTTTGTGTGGTGGCTCTTACGTGAACGCTTATTTGAAGAAATACGAGAAGCAAATACTGTTAAGTTATTTGATCTATATTTGATATTTATGTTTCAAAAACCTCCAAATATCAAACATTAGAGAAATATAAGTTTATTTTCTGTTTGTGAAAGCAACAGAAAACATTTTCTGCTCGTGCCTCTTGGTTTTTACAATTTTACACGTATTTATTCATTAGGAGTGCTTTTATTTCTGTCTATCGTTAATAATAAATATGTCTTGATAGAATAACTGTACTACTTTTAGACATTATTTTTCAATTCTAACTTTTCGGGTTCAACTCTCCATTTTTGTAGTGATCATGGGGAGGAAGAAGAAAACTGACGGTGGTGGTGAAAGTTCTGAGTCTCAGGATGTTGGTGGCCGTGGCTCCCAACGATCAGCTGAAAGGAGAGATGGTCCACAGCAACACGGTGGAAGTGGATATCATGGTGGAAGAGGTTGGGCTTCTCAAGGGGGACGGGGAGGTCAAGGTGGTGGTCGTGGCCGAGGAACATCTCAACATCAGCACTACGGAGGACCTCCGGATTACCAAGGCAGGGGTAGAGGTGGACCATATCAGCATGGAGGACGCGGTAACTATGGTGGTAATCGCAGTGGCATGGGTGGTGGCGGCATTGGGGGAGGATCTTCTTCTGGTGGACCATCCAGGCCACCAGTTCCCGAGCTGCACCAAGCAACCCCAGTGTGTCAAGGTGGGGTGACTCAGCCAATGTCATCTCTGGCGAGTTCTTCCTCCCACCCACCCGACACTTCATCAATTGATCAGCAATTTCAACAAATTTCCATCCAGCAGGAATCTTCTCAAAGCCAAGCAATTCAATCTGCACCACCATCTAGTAAATCTATGAGATTCCCTTTGAGACCAGGAATGGGTAGCTCTGGAATAAGGTGTATTGTTAAGGCTAACCACTTCTTTGCTGAGCTGCCGGACAAAGATCTTCATCAGTATGATGTGGGCATTCTTTTCTGTTCTGCTGCTCATATATTTTCTATTCTGCTGCTTGTGTTTTTTTCATATTTTAATCCTACACTGACATTTTCTGCTGCAAGTAGGTTACTATTACTCCAGAAGTCACTTCACGTGTCTATAATCGAGCTGTAATGCAACAGCTAGTGAACTTATACAGGGTCTCTCACCTTGGTAATCGTCTTCCAGCCTATGATGGAAGAAAAAGTTTATACACAGCTGGTCCTCTTCCTTTCATATCAAATGAGTTTAGAATCACTCTTTTTGATGAAGAGGATGGATCAGGAGGACAAAGGTGCCTTACCCTCTTCCCTCTTTGAATTTTTCTTGTGTCTATGCTTTTTCTCTTTTCATTCTTCCTGATGATTTGCTACTTCTGATGCAGACGGGAAAGAGAATTTAAAGTTGTGATCAAATTGGCTGCTCGTGCTGATTTGCACCATTTAGGGCTCTTTCTGCAGGGCAGACAGGCGGATGCCCCACAGGAAGCCCTTCAAGTTCTGGATATTGTATTGCGCGAATTGCCTACTTCAAGGCATGTCTATATTACCACACACCTGTTACATGGTTTTTAGTTCATTGGATTGAATTAATGAATGAAATTGCTTGATCTTCTAGGTATTGTCCAGTGGGCCGATCATTTTATTCTCCTGATCTTGGCAGACGTCAGACAATGGGTGAGGGGCTGGAAAGCTGGCGGGGCTTTTATCAGAGTATCCGTCCTACTCAAATGGGCCTCTCTCTAAATATTGGTATTAGCCCCACTGTCTGTTCTTTGCATTTTATACTTCCTAAAATGGAAGGCATGGAGATTAATTTTTCAGTTTACATTTCTCCCTTCATGTTTTATTTCAGTGAAGTGACTATTCACTAATGGATGCAGATATGTCATCTACTGCTTTCATAGAACCTTTGCCTGTCATTGATTTTGTGACTCAGCTTCTCAACCGTGATGTGTCATCGAGACCATTATCTGACGCTGACCGTGTGAAGGTTGGATGCTTCTTACTGTTTAGGTCATGATATTTTATTTTACAAGCTCGTTAGACTGCTAGGACTATTTGCAGTTGTTCTTCTACCTAATTTTGGTATGCTATGGTTTTTCATGGAATTGCCATTTCTACAGGAGGGGATATTCTCTAATTTTTTTTTAATTAATTTCAGATAAAGAAGGCTCTTCGAGGTGTTAAAGTTGAAGTGACACACCGTGGTAATATGCGCAGAAAATATCGCATAACTGGTTTGACATCACAAGCAACACGAGAGCTAACGTAAGTAATATTTTTCACTTGAATTGAAAAGTCTTGCCTAACTAAGTTTGTATTATATTGAACTTCACCGCTTATGCTAATTGTATTTGTACTAGTTTCCCGGTTGATGAAAGAGGTACTATGAAATCAGTGGTCGAGTACTTCTATGAAACATATGGGTTTGTTATTCAACATACTCAGTGGCCTTGTCTTCAAGTAGGGAACCAGCAGAGACCTAACTATCTACCCATGGAAGTAACGTTTCTCCTTATATTTTGCCTTACTGGTTGAGTATTTAGTAATGGCTAATTCATGTTGTGTGTCCCATTATGTATATTTGAGTTTTATCATCGAAAATGTTTTTGATTCAGGTTTGTAAGATTGTTGAAGGCCAGAGGTATTCCAAAAGGCTCAATGAAAGACAGATTACTGCTCTGCTCAAGGTTACATGCCAACGACCAAAAGATAGAGAGGAAGACATCATGCGGGTCTGGAATAGCTTGCATCTTTAATAAATCTCAATTTATATAATTGGGTGTAATTGCTTGGAATTTAGTTTCTGCTTTTATCTTTTTCCTCTAAATATTATAAGTTCTGTTTCTTTCTACCTTTCTTGTTTTTCGACGCTTCATTACCTTGCTTAACATTCTTTTAATTACAGACGGTACGTCATAATGCATATCATGACGATCCATATGCCAACGAGTTTGGAATTAAGATAAGTGCTAAGCTTGCTTCTGTTGAAGCTCGTATTCTTCCTGCACCATGGGTAACACATCTAATTCTAGTATAATTGAGCTGTGATTGCTGTCTAATTTTCATAATGTTCTAATGATAATTTCATTCCTTTGCAGCTAAAATATCATGAGACCGGCAGAGAAAAGGATTGCTTGCCACAGGTTGGACAGTGGAATATGATGAATAAGGTACTTCCTGTTGGGGAATTAATATATTAGAGGTTTTTTTCTCCTCTCTGGTTTACATTTTTGTTGCTTTGTCTGAAACTTTTAGTTTCTTGTTTCTGTTGTTTTGGGATGCTATAAGAAGAGCATTAAAAATATTATTCATTTAATATATTATGTATTTTATAGTTTAAGCACTAAGAAAGTTTTATGTATTCTACAATAAGTGAGATGCCACATTCGTGTTGATGAAAAGAATTCCAGATTCCTTGTCCATGGTAGGTATGTTAGTTTGTTTGAGAAAGAAATGTCCCTTCCCCCCTTTCTGCTGTAGGTAAGATGACTTGAAATGCTTGCTTGGGTTGTCTTCACTAATTATGCTGAATGATAGTCCATTCATGGTTCCAGAGTTTATTTATGAAACGATAATATGACCTTTTTATCTATGTTGATTATGAGTTATTGCAGAAAATGTTCAATGGTGGTACTGTAAACAACTGGATGTGCATAAATTTCTCTCGATATGTGCAAGACAGTGTTACTCGTGGGTTTTGTTATGAACTTGCTCAAATGTGTTACATTTCTGGCATGGTAATAACCTTAATTTATTGCCTTCAACAACTAGTGGTGAGATTTCCAACGAAGTTTTTAATGCTAAAGCTTTCTACGATGGCTGTAGGCTTTCAATCCAGAACCAGTGATTCCTCCTATTTTTGCTCGTCCTGATCATGTGGAAAAGGCCCTTAAAACTCGGTACCATGATGCAATGAGCATTCTCCAACCCCAGGGCAAGGAGCTTGATCTGCTTATTGTTGTTTTGCCAGATAACAACGGATCTCTGTATGGTATGTCAATTACTGTCTTTGTTATTTACAATCTTGATGTCTTTTAATTACTTTTTTCTTTCGTTATACTTTTTGCAGGTGATTTAAAACGAATCTGTGAAACGGATCTTGGCCTCGTTTCCCAGTGCTGTTTGACTAAACATGTCTTCAAAATGAGTAAACAGTATTTGGCCAATGTGGCCTTGAAAATAAACGTAAAGGTTGGGGGAAGAAATACAGTACTTGTTGATGCATTATCTAGGCGCATACCCTTGGTTAGTGACCGCCCTACCATTATATTTGGTGCCGATGTAACTCATCCTCACCCAGGAGAAGACTCAAGTCCATCCATTGCTGCTGTATGATCATAGGCACCTCTTTTTGTTTTATATGCTTCTTTGTCTAATCTAAGCCGCTGTTAAGTTCCTAGTATTATTTTGTCAATAGGTTGTGGCTTCTCAAGATTGGCCGGAAGTAACAAAATATGCTGGTTTGGTCAGTGCTCAAGCCCATAGGCAAGAGCTTATTCAAGATCTTTTCAAAACATGGCAGGATCCTGTAAGGGGGACTGTAACGGGTGGAATGGTCAAGTATGAGTTATAAACCTAGTAGTTTTAGTGCTTTTGTCTTCTGGTTGCATATTGAACTTGTCTTAGTGAACTGGTGTGTTCTTATTTATTGTCCTCCTCTCTCTGGTGACAGGGAACTCCTCATCTCCTTCCGTAGAGCCACTGGACAGAAACCTCAGCGCATTATATTTTACAGGCATTTTCTTTTATTGATAATATTTTGTCAGGTCGTGAATAAACATTATTTTCGATTTGTTTGATGCTATTCCAAAGTTTTATGTTTGCAGGGATGGGGTTAGCGAAGGACAGTTTTACCAAGTTTTATTGCATGAGCTGGATGCCATTCGAAAGGTAAAGATTGCATGTGTTGATGCATCTTCAATATGATTTGAGAGATACTGTTGGTTTGATGTATTTTTGTCAATTTCTCTGACATATTTTTTCCTTCTGAATCTATTCATTTTTAGGCATGCGCTTCTCTAGAACCAAACTACCAACCTCCAGTGACTTTTGTTGTTGTACAGAAGCGTCATCACACTAGGTTGTTTGCTAATAACCATTCTGATCGCCACGCTGTTGACAAGAGTGGGAACATATTGCCTGGTATAGTATAGTATAGCTAACTCGTGCGTGTAGAGTTTGTTGTCTTTTTTGACATTTGATTAGTATGGAAGTAGGAAAAATTGGAGTTTATACATGCATGTATAGCTAACTCTAGAGTTTGTTGTCTTTTTTGACATTTGATTAGTATGGAAGTAGGAAAAATTGGAGTTTATACATGCATGTAGAATTCAATTAATTAATTGCTTGTTCTTTTGTTTTTGTTTTTAAAAATGATTTTTACTTTACTGCCGGAAATGTGTCAGGTACGGTAGTTGACTCCAAAATTTGTCACCCTACGGAATTTGACTTTTACCTGTGCAGTCATGCTGGAATCCAGGTAGAATTATATATATATGTAATGAAATATTTTATTGTTTATAGAGATGCCATATGCGGCGATGAAGACTTATTACATAATTTTATGTTTATGATACTGGTTGACCAGGGTACAAGTCGTCCAGCTCACTACCATGTTCTGTGGGATGAGAACAAGTTCACAGCTGACAGATTGCAGACTCTAACCAATAATCTTTGTTATACGTGAGTAATTCCAACTTATCTGGTTCTGCTTTAATTTTAATTAGCGCTCAAACATTTCAAGCCAAATTTTTATTATTATCCATAATTGACATTATCATCTTACTTGTGAGATTGGCTTAATTAAATATGGGATTTTCTATTTCTGTAGGTATGCAAGGTGTACTCGCTCTGTTTCTATTGGTAAGTTTCCGATTTACTTGATTTGAATTTGTTCTGCCCAACCACATCTGATCCCTTGTTCATGGTTTGTTAATTTGGTGTAACCTTTTTTTTTTTTGCAGTGCCCCCAGCCTACTACGCTCATCTTGCTGCATTCCGAGCTCGTTTTTATATGGAACCCGAGACTTCTGATAGCGGGTCAATTAGCAGTGATGCTGCTGCTGGACGTGGTGGTGGTGGTGGTGGTGGTGCTCGCAGCACACGGGCACCAGGGTTGAATGCTGCTGTTCGACCTTTGCCAGCTCTCAAAGAGAATGTTAAGAGGGTTATGTTCTATTGTTGATGTGTTTTACTACCACTGGTTGTTTCACTTCAAAGTTCTTCAAATGTCTTTGTTTAGTTTCCGGAGCTTTGGTTTGAATGTGTGAAACTTCTCACTTGTGTATGATGAACTTCGGTATTTGTTATTTTGTGTTTACAACTCATTGGTGGCTCATGCCCATGCCCCCTACGGTGACATGCTTTGCCGTCCATTCGAGAACCTTATAATGCCATGTACTGCTTTCAACAACTATTTTTACCGCTTTGTTTGGTTTAATCGTGGATGCCAAAATCTTTGGGCCAATTTTTAGGGTAATGCCACTTTTTTTTCAAAAAAATAAATTTAATGTTAGTTTTCTTCATTTTAATTATTGGGCTTATAAATTTGGGCGAGTGAGATTGATTCAGGTTGTTGCTGAATTTGAAGAGAAGCAAACCAATAATACTAAGGAATAATGAATATCACATTAAGCTTGTTAAACATGGTAACACCAAAAGCCTAAAAATTGCATTTGTATCTTAAGAATGTCAACTCCAAGAAGGAAAGCAAAGAATAAAAGGCAGCCTCTCCAATACCAATGCCAACACCAACACCAACACCAATACCAATGCCAATACCATTACCATTACCATTACCAATGATATTTCAGTAAAACAAAGAAAGAAAGTCACCTGCTTGAAGTTCCTTACCTCCTCTTAATAACTTCCCACCATTGCAATTCCTTTCTTGCTTTCAATCTTTCAAACCTCTTAAATGTTCTTGTCTTCCATCACTACCCTTATTTCTATTTCAGCATTACGTCTCCCTCACTCTTCATAAAATATAACATTTCTTAATCTCCACCAATGAACGTATATGTATCTCACATCACAACCCATAAGAAACGCAATTAGAAACAAAGCCGTGTGATCGTTGGAAGAAATGGCCATTGCAACAGCCAGCTTGATGAGATTAGATACACCAATTTCCGACAGTTTAAACACTGCGTTGAGGAAATCCCATAACCCAATGAAGAAATGCTTCGCCAGGTACACACTTCCTCTTCCAATCAAAAAAAGCTTGAGACATTTTGAGGTATGAACGTAACCCATCTGAGTGAATGAATAGGTTTGTTGAGAATGGGAAGAGGCTGATGAAATCCCAAGATTTGATGAAGGATTTGGAGATTACAATTGAAGACAAGCGTGAGAGGAGCCAAGTTTTGGAAGGCTTTCTTGGCTACATTCTAAGCAACACTCAGGTAATACTCAAACCCTTTCTGCTTTGAAGGAGGATGGATTTTGATGGCTTATGATATGCAGGAGGCTGCTGTTGTCCCTCCGAACGTCGCGCTAGCCGTGAGGCCGAGCCCCGGTTTCTGGGAGTTTGTAAAGGTGAATGCTACAAGTTTGAGAGTAGGAGACCTTACAGCTTCTGAGTACTTGAAATTCAAGGAAGCTATCTTTGATGAGAGCTGGTATGTCCATAAATACTTCTGGTTTCCCTTCATGTAGTAATCTTTGGATTGATGAATGAAATAGTTGTGAAAATCATTGGTTTGCGCTTTGATGTGCAGGGCAAATGATGAACATGCTGTAGAGATAGATTTTGGAGCCATTGAATTCAGCGCCCCTCGCTTGAGCCTTCCCTCGTCAATTGGAAACGGAGTCAATTTCATCTCAAAGTTCATCAGTTCAAGGTTTAGTGAGGATAAACAGAATGTTAGGGCACTTGTTGATTATCTTCTGGCCCTTCACCATCGCGGACAGGTATCAAAATATGAACATTCCATTGCAGAAAGCTGAAGATGTTAAGAAAAACTATGAATGACAACATTTGGATTCAAATCTTGCAGAGTCTTATGATCAATAAGAAACTTAATACGGCTTCCAAGCTTCAATCTGCATTGTTTGCAGCTCAAGTATATCTATCTTCACTGCCAAAAGACACCCCATATGAAGAATTTAAGCACAAGTAACCAAGAATTCTCTGTTCTTTTCCATTTGATTTCCCATTTTTCTTAACTTTCATCTAATTGTATTGCTATCATTAATGCTCAAAGGATGAAGGGGTGGGGATTTGAGAAGGGATGGGGAAGTACTTCAGAGAGAGTCAGTGAAACAATGTTAATCCTTTCTGAGATCCTCCAAGCACCAGATCCACTAAAATTGGAGTTACTGTTTAGCAAGCTTCCAACCACATTGAATGTCGTAGTATTTTCGCCACACGGCTATTTCGGCCAGGAAGGCGTCCTCGGCATGCCTGACACCGGCGGTCAGGTTAGAATATGAGTATCTGTTTATATTGCAGCCTTACAATGTTGTGTTCATGTGGACTTGTATATCACTCACCTGCTACAAAAATGACTAGATTGTGTACATTCTTGATCAAGTGAGAGCTTTGGAAGAAGAGCTGCTGTACAGAATTGAGCAGCAAGGCCTGCAAGCAAAGCCTCAGATTCTTGTGGTATGTTCATTGTAGGCACATAAGATCACAACAACATTGTCCTTGTGTTTTAATATGTATTCCAATTAGGTGACAAGATTGATACCTGATGCTCGAGGAACCAAGTGCAATGTGGAGTTAGAGCCTATTGAAAACACAAAGCATTCTAACATTCTCAGGGTCCCATTCTACACTCAAAATGGAGTCCTTCGCCAATGGGTTTCACGTTTTGACGTCTATCCATACTTGGAGAGATTTGTGAAGGCATTTTACTGCAAAACTCCTTCATTTTGCCCAACCAGTTTCTTCATCTTCTACTAACTTCGTATTTATAGGATGCCACTGGTAAGATCCTTGAAGTCATGGGCTGCAAACCTGACCTCATCATTGGCAACTACACTGATGGAAACCTGGTTGCTGCTTTGATGGCTAAGAAACTTGGAATTACACAGGTCCGAAGACAAAATCTTGGGAAAAATCCGCCATGTTTGGTTGTTTTTTTAGTTTCATGATCTCTGAATTCTTGAGTTTTTATTTTGACATCCCAGGGAGCTATAGCACACGCTTTAGAGAAATCAAAATACGAGGATTCTGATGCTAAATGGAAGGAGCTTGATCCCAAGTATCATTTCTCGTGTCAATTCACAGCTGATATGATCTCAATGAATGCAGCTGATTTCATTATAACAAGTACATATCAAGAAATTTCAGGAAGGTTAGCAGATTCTTATCATATAGTAATGAACTCAGCTGGATTATGTCATCTTTGAGTAGCTAAGTAAAAGGTTTTGTCCAACAGCGAAAGCAGGCCAGGACAATATGAAAGCCATGAGGCCTTTACTATGCCTGGACTTTATAGGGTTGTCTCAGGTATTAGTGTGTTTGACCCCAAATTCAACATTGCTGCTCCTGGGGCTGATCAATCTGTCTACTTTCCTTTCACTGACAAATCAAAACGGCTGACAAATTTTCATCCCGAAATCGAGGAACTACTTTATAGCAGAGAGAACAATGATGAACACATGTAACATGAACACATTCTCTTTTAGTTTGAACAGTGACAGAAAATTATCAGTGCAGTTCTAACTTTTGATCTTGTACATTTCTGGAACAGTGGTTACCTTGCTGATAAGAAGAAGCCAATAATCTTCTCAATGGCAAGGCTTGATACGGTGAAAAACATTACTGGTTTAACTGAATGGTTTGGCAAAAACAGGAGGCTGAGAAGTTTAGTAAACCTTGTGGTGGTAGCAGGATTCTTTGATCCATCAAAATCAAAGGACAGGGAAGAAATTGCTGAGATAAAAAAGATGCATTCCCTGATAGAGAAATACAAACTCAGGGGGCAAATCAGATGGATAGCAGCTCAAACCGATCGGTGTCGCAACGGAGAGCTATACCGGTGCATTGCTGATACTAAAGGAGCTTTTGTGCAGCCTGCACTTTATGAAGGTTTTGGCCTAACAGTCATTGAGGCAATGAACTGTGGATTGCCTACTTTTGCAACAAATCAGGGAGGCCCAGCAGAGATTATTGCCGACGGGGTCTCGGGATTTCACATCGATCCGAACAATGGAGGCGAATCAAGTAAAAAGATCGTTGCTTTCTTTGAGAAATGCAAGTCAGATGGTGGATATTGGAACAGGATTTCAGAAGCTGGTCTTCAGCGAATATATGAAAGGTAAAAACAAGACACAGACATCATTCCAACAAATTGGGAATGTTGATGATATTCACTTACTGATTATGGTTTTGCAGCTACACTTGGAACATATATGCAAAGAAGGCTCTGAACATGGGATCAGTTTATGGATTTTGGAGGCAGATAAACAAAGACCAAAAACAAGCCAAGATGAGATACATTGAATTGCTTTACTCTCTCTTGTTTAGGAAACTGGTTAGCATTCTATCTCTTCAACAGACATTGATGACTAAGCTTTTCAGCTTTTTTGATCACTCTAAATCCTATTACAGGTGAAGAACATTCCAATCCCTACTGAAGAACCCTTGCCAGCTCCAGCCGCCACGCCCACGTTGCAGCAGCCGACACCGGAGCTCCGATCTCGTAGACCGGCTGCCACTCAACCTGAGCCAGGACCAAGGCAAAATCATCCACTCTTGATTAACATTGTTAGTTTCGCATTAACCTTAATAACCAACCTTAATAATTAAAAAAAAGAGTTGTTTTAATTTTGCAGGAGTGAAGATAGGGGCTCAGTGCAGCAGGGGCAGAGTGGCTATGGGCTATCAAACACCTTAAATAAGATGTGCTTTTTGGCCGCCTCTCTCTTGGTTGCTTACTTTGTGCTAAAGAGGATTTCTGGAGTAGATCAAGCATCATATGATGATTTACCATTTTAGCCTTTTGATATTTGAACTTTATTTATGTAAATTTATTGTAATAATTAAACCAACAATCTGTGATTCTCTTACTAAATTATTTATGTATTTGTTTGAATATCATATTCAAATAAAGGAATGTGTGAAAAAAATGGGTTTTAGTTGAACAAAGAAATTAGTTGTTTAGGGTCACAAGGGTATTTTAGATGGGTTTTAGCTGAACAAAGAAATGGATTCTTTTTTTTTTTTTTTTTTTTTTTTTTTTAAAAGAATTTCGAAGCGAGTATAAAGAAGAACATAAGATTACCCAAACATAGATCTCGCTGTCATCTCTGCGAGCATCTAGCAACCGGAAAGTCTGGCCCGGCGAGGAACTGATCTCAGAGGGCAGTGAGGGCGCGCTACGATGTCAGATCCATATTCAGGGGCCAAAGGAGGTAGGCTCACCTTCAAGGGAGGAGTCTTAGCCTCCCGCAGTAAGGATATTGACAAGAAGAAGAAAAAGAAGAAGAAAGACAAAAGTAAAAGCGACGAGAACCCCACGGATGAGACCGAGATTTTGTCGTCGGCTGACGGTGTAGAGGGTGAAGAGGGAGTGGTGTATACTATTGACGCGGCCAAGCGTATGAAGTATGAGGAGCTTTTCCCGGTGGAGACCAGGAAGTTCGGTTACGACCCTAACAACGCCGATACCAAGTTCAAGTCTGTGGAGGAAGCTCTTGATGACCGTGTCAAAAAGAAGGCGGATCGTTATTGTAAATAATCAGGTCACTGCTCTCGCTAGTCTGCTTTAGTTTGTCTCTGCATTCGTTCTCGCAACTCCATAGATGCAATTTGTATTTCACGCCTGAATTTGATGGATATTTTAGTCAGGATTCCTAGTTAGATTTCGCAATATCTTCAAACATATTAGGTTAAGATCGTACGAATTAGGTTAGGCGTTGGCTTCTAACGAAAGGAATGTTTGTCCAATGTCCCTTATACTCGAAGAACGTCGAAATTTAGTTAGGGAAGTCTCTTTTTTCTTTTCTTTCTACTCTGCTTGACCTCTTTTAAGAATTCCTTGAATAAATATGCGGAGGAATGAATTTGTTGCATAGTTCCTTAGGTGGTCATCAAATTGTTAGTTTGTAGAACAAGGTAAAATTGTGATAATCATCTGTGAATGATAGCTGTAAAGTAATAATGGTGGAGGCACAGATAGAATCCAGGACTACAAAGGAGCTCTTTGACTTGTTAGTAACTAGCATATAAGGTAATATTTCAAATATCCTCTGCAACTGCCATAGAGTGGCCCTAAGTGGATCCTTCATCAAACACCCTTGAAGTCCCCATATTTATCTGCAGAAGTTCGTCTATTATCACCTTCTAGATTGATCAGTAGTGTGCCCCAGTAGCATTAGTCCTGTGATTTTTAATGCAGCCTCAAGTGATGGAGGTCAGCAACTCTTACATGTCTTACTAATCTCTCTCTATCTCTTTTGGAGAGAAACATGCCTATGAACTATGGGAAGGAGTGCGTAGGCATAAGTTAGTTACCTGCTTGACATGATATGCTGAGTTAGACAAGGTAATATATAAATATATTGGTAAGAAACCGAACTTTCATTGAAAAAGAATGAAATGAACGCAAGGGCATACAAAAAAAGTTCAACAAAAAGAGTGAGCTCAAAAGTAACAACAAAAAAAAGGCTGTAATCCAACAAAATCAAACCAAGATCATAGTTACTTGTGCTGTTATTTGAAGTCAGATTAGCAGTAATACTCTTCACTGGGTGCCTGATCTGATACTTACATCCCCCAGATCCATCCTACTATTCTCACTCTTGGGGTTCTAATCCCTTTCTGGGAGAACAGCTGCCAGTTTTACCTGTGTGGATAACTGGACTGCAAACTGCACCGCAGTGATTTGTGCAATTAGCATATCATATTTCTATGTTTGAAAAATGGTTCATGTAAATTACAAGAAAAATACTTTTTTTTTCTTTTTTTCTTTTGCGTAGTCTTCAAAAAAGGGAATGCTGATGTTGCTACATTTGATGGTATACTAATCGTTATATAGGTTCAAATTAATCAGTGAATTTTGCCGAGGACAACTGCTTTACTCGTGATCTTAATCAGTGAATTTTAATTTGCCTTAACGCTCATATTGTAGTTGTTTGTTGCAGGCATTGGTCATAATGGAACTACTGAGATTCCAGTGATTTCTTGAGACGATGCTCATCATGCTCCACTAAGCAACAGGTTCAACACTATGCCTTAGATTTCTAGTTTTCATGGTATTGTGATCTAATATAGACTCATGGAGCCATTACCACCGAAAAAATGTTGGTACGGCTTAATCTTTGGTTGTTAGTTTAGTATTTTTTTAGAAAAGAATGGTTTATGGATTATTCCAACAATTCAGGAACCAAATAATTTAGCATGGATTGAATTATAATTCTTGACTGCCACAAAAATCATTATAATAGTGTTAAAGATAGGGGAGAGGGAAATGCTGTAAAGGAATATGGGATTTCTCTTAATTCATTTTCCATTTTTGAACTTCTGTTCATCAATTTCAGCTTATGAGCTTCTAAAATATCTATCTTTTCGCCTCTGAACTTATACTTTATACCCATTTTTCATTATGGTACGTAAGCTAATATAAGAATCTCAGTCCTAACGAAAGTTTTGACACGATCTCTAACATATAAAGTTTGTAATTGCTTGGAAGTTGTTCTTAGAAGCCATTTTTTAAAGACAGTTTCGACCCAAACTATACTTGATTGTTTTCAAACTACTATTATACCTAATTGAGAAAACATTGGCCGACTTTTAATCGTGGTTAATTAGCCCAATTGCTCTTAAATTATTCGAGTGCTTTCAACTCTATGACAACCTTCAAATTGCCTCAATAATGTTCAAAATTAAGCAGAGTTACCTGGAAATAAAAAAGAAAAAAAGAAAAAAAAAATTGTAGCCATATTGGGCCAACGTTATTTTAAGGTAGGCCCAACGTAACTTAACTCGGTCTAACTCGATTATGTTTTAGCCCATTGCGGCCCATTGGGATTATCTTTATTTATTTAATTTGGCAAATGCGTTGCTTCTTTCTGGGAGAATGTAAATCAAATAACCAAGCTGTACCAATTAGAATCAGCCACGTCTGTATTGGAATCATATATCGACCGTCGGATCAAGATGAATTTTTGTTTTTCGTGGATCGGTTCGTAGCTCTAGCAACCTCTTATTATTATATGGAGCGAAAGGGCTAAACCATCTGTTAGCGCCGTCCGGGAGTCTGCCCTTCTTCCGCCAGCCTCTGTGTAATCCCCCATCTCCAAAACCCTAGCCCAAAGGTAATTCCCTCCGTCCTCTTCGCCCTTCATCTCTCTATTTCTTCTTTAATCTCTTCTCCCGCTTGGTTCTTAGATTCTATTGTCGGGACTTTTTCAGTCTTCACTCATAGTTGGGCTTGTAAGTTTAGACGAAGTTGTTATAGATTCGTTAATCCCAGTTCTCTATCTTCTAGCACGCTACGGTTTTCCTATCGTTTTTGATCGTCCTCCTCTCCTGCAAGATTTTGTTCTTGTTCTGCATTTAGGTCCCATTTCTTAACCGAAATTAAGTCATTAGTGTACGTTCGTTTTTACCTCATTCTTATATAATTAGGAATTCTAATGGAACTTAACGACATTTTGATTGCTGCATTTCGTTTTGGGTATATTTCTTTGATTAAAGGATGCGTGCCTGCTCAGGGCAGGGTCATTACTCAGCACTCTTAAAAAGGTTTATGCTGTTTGATTCTCATTTTGGGTATTTTGTTGGTGCCGTCTCTTCTTCGATTCTCATCTTTTAGCTAATGATAGTGATCAAAGAAAAAAAAAAAAAAAAGTCTATAAAATATTAACTGGGAGTTTCTCCCGCTTTAGTGGCTATCTGATCGTGCTCGTAGCTTTTGGATTTTACTTATATTATATAAGTATTGTTTGAAATATTCAGTTCTTGTTAAACCCGAACTCCCCCTTGTGCGTCCTACGACTTACTTATATTGGCCTAGTCTAATTCTGTTTTGCTGTCATGCAGATGGATCAGGAGAGGCTTAGGAAGATTGCCAGTGCGGTTCGCACCGGTGGAAAGGGTACCGTGAGAAGGTAATTCTGTAATATTTTATTTTTCCCATTCCATTGTTCAGCACATAAGGTGATGTGGTTGAAGTTTGGATTTCTGACCTTCATTGTGAGGATAATGAACTGCCTGAAATTGTTAACCAACCTTTTATATTTCATATGTACCTGGATTCTTTGCCTAAAAATTGAATGGATCATTATAACCATCCCAAATTTCAATTTTGCACTGTGGTAAGAATTTAAGCTCTCATGAAGTTTAATATATTCATATTAATTTAAATTTATTTTTTTCAAATACAAATTAAAATTGAGGAAATTAATAGGAATCTCAGCTAATCCAAAATTTATGCCACTGTTGAAACGTCTAGCTCGTTGTTTTGCTCTGACCTTATTTGTCTGACCTGATGATTTTTTAAACTGAAGTCTTTTTAAGACCTCCAGAAGGTGATGCAATAATTACAACATCTTGGTTAAATTATGGTAATTTGCACTTGATAAGTCTTTCCGTGTCATTCACATCCCACTGTCTTGTATTTGTCAAAAAAAAAGAAAAAAAGTAAAATTTCAATTGTCGTAGTCTTTCTGTTATTTCTTCAATGAAATTACCTAAAGACGTTACCTTGTTATTCCATTGGTGGGTTTTTTATTTTCAAAAAAATGCCCTTATAATAGAAAGAAGAAGGCAGTTCATAAGACCACCACAACTGATGATAAAAGGCTACAGAGCACCCTAAAGAGAATTGGGGTGAATGCCATTCCTGCCATTGAGGAGGTCAACATTTTCAAGGACGATGTGGTTATCCAATTCAATAGCCCGAAGGGTAAATTTTATTTGTCAATTTATTGTACTTCCATCTTATTGCTTCACATTCTTGGATGACTCGTAACATTATTTTTTAACTTATTTCCTGTCCAGTTCAAGCATCTATTGCTGCAAACACCTGGGTTGTTAGTGGTTCTCCTCAAATAAAGAGTACGTATCTCTGCTAAACTATGCTGTAAATCTAATAACACAATTTTATTTTTTCCATTGCTTTAATATAAATTGCATACCGGACAAACCATTTGAGGCATTTTGTGGGGGAGTACTAGTACTTCTTCGAAAGAATGGTTTCTTGTTCTGGGCAATTGGATCAGGGCTATAGGGAAAGAATGTTCTTCGACCGTGTCAGATCAATCAGTTTTAATTGCATTTGATTAGTTTTCATGGTATCTATTTCATTAAGGCTGCATCTTCTTACCAGCCTTCAAAGTATGTCTTACTGTTAAAAATCATTTGGTTTGTACAATAGATCTTGTTGTCTACTTGTGCTGACGTTAATTGTCTGTCATGCATTTGATGGTGCTGGTCCCTGTACGTCCTTATTTTTCTTGGTTGAAATGGTCCTCCGATGTCTTTCTATCTAATAATTTGTGCGTTTCCCAACTACAGAATTGCAGGACATCTTGCCTGGTATCATCAATCAATTGGGTATTTTATCTCTCGAGTGTTGTTGTTTTTGTTTTTTTGTTTTTTTTTTTTGTAAATTGTTAGAGCTCCATTGGTTTGAACTTGTAAATAATGTTTCTGTTATTACTACTACCCTCAGGGCCAGATAATTTGGACAACTTGCGAAAATTAGCTGAGCAGTTCAAACAGCAAGCACCTGGAGCAGGTGTTGATGTTGATGCAAAGAATGTAGAAGAGGAGGACGATGACGTTCCAGAACTTGTTGATGGGGAGACTTTTGAAGCTCCCGCAGAAGAAAATCGTTCTTCTTAGAGAAATCCCTTCGGGAAAGGAGTGTTTTTGTGGCGTTTTATACTTCTTACATACTACTAGAATTTGTTGAGACAAGTTTTATTCTTAAATCTTATCATAATATCTCTAACCACCTGTTCTCTTTATGATGAGGAGGAACGTTAGTTTGCGTGTTTGTTCCGTGCTGCCGTACTTTTACATCTTCCAATCATCCTTTCAATCCCAGAGTTGCGCGTCGCTAGCTTCTCCGCGGAGATTCTTGCAGGGCCGTAATTGTGCTTGGATGTTTCTTCTCAAATCTTTATCTTAAAGTTGTATCCGCCACCAATGGGGCGCTGATTCAGAAGGGGTCTGTTTGGGGGTAGATTTCATTTGATATTATTTAACTGAAAAGAGTTGTGATAAAATATTCGTATCTGCGTATTCAATTTAAAGAAAATAATAATAATAATAATAATAATAACTGCAATTAAAACCAATGAAATTAATCAATAGAGGCGAGGTTGCGCGCGCTGCCGGTTGCTTCCCAGTCGCCCGTCTCCACATTTTGTGATAAAAGCGAAGAAGGCCAAAAAGCAAAGGTTAAAACGCGGGAATGACGGCAACACTGTGTCTCCTCTGCATCCCTCTCCGATTCCCACCTAACCGTACTTCCTTCTCTTCTACTTCCGTTTCCCTTACCCCTATTCGTGCTCAGAACCAGGAGATTCGGGTTTGCACCAATCGCACTTGCCGACGTCAAGGTTCCTTTCAGACACTCGAAACTCTCTGCGCCCTCGCACCTCCCACCATTACCGTCAATCCCTCTGGTTGCTTGGGAAAGTGCGGCGCTGGCCCTAACGTCGCTGTTTTTCCCGATGGATTCGTCGTCGGCCATTGCGCCACGCCTGCTCGTGCTGCCGAGGTCATCATGCGATTGTCTGGTGGAGTTTCTGATTCTCTTGGCGTCTCTAAGAGTTTGGAGGCTCTTGCTCTAAGGAAGAGAGCCGAATGTGAGGTGGAGGACGGGAATTTCTCTCAGGCTGACCTACTTCTTTCGAAGGTAAACTGTTCCGCCTTTTGCTGTGTGATCTCATTGATTAGTAATTTTCCACTCTTCGTTCTTGGAACTTTGTTTAGAATAATACATTGTGTATGATGCCTTGATTCAATTTGTTGCAGGCGATAGAATTAAAACCATGCGGAGGTATCCATATAATATTCAAAGACAGGTGTTCTACTTCTAGTTCCACGTTGTATCTTATTGTATACAAATCGTCGACTATATTTCCTTCCAATAGTAAATTTGGTAACAATCGTTGAGTTCATGATAATTGTTGGTACTCATTCAATTTTAAGTCACGAAGTTCTTCTCAAATGTTGATTTTATCCTGCGTCTCTCTAGCATTTGTTTACTTTTTTTTTCTTTATCTATGTCTTTACTAAAGCAGCTGTATCCAAAAAATTTCGTTACACAGACTATTAAATTTTCAGGTCCATCGTAAGATTGGCTCTGGGGAATTATGCTGCTGCCCTTGAAGATGCAAATGAGGCTCTAAGAGTAGCTCCTCAATATCCCGAGGTAAGAAGTATTTTAGTTAATCTCCATGTGCACTACATTCCATCTAAAAAATTAACTTGGCCGTTACACTTCAACGACGAAGGGAGAAAATGTTTGAAACTACCAATCTGGAGACCAGGTAGTAGTACCTCAAATTATTGACAAGATCTACGATATATAAATTTCCGATTTCTTCCACTTCAAATGTTCTTAAGCAGATTTGTATAGTGTCAAGCTCTAGGTGTCAAGAGCAAAAGAAAATTCGGAGGATAACAGAAAAACTTTGGACATGAACATCATCTATAATTGTAAATTCGAGTATCAACCTTTTGTTGGGCTTCTTGAGTCTTTGTGATGCATGAATCTTTATATGTTAGGATTAAAAATGAATACCACTCGATTTTAGATTAAAATTTGCCAGGACACGCATGGATGGATGTAAAGAAAAAAACTATGTTTAAAATTCAAAAGAAGGATGATGCTAAACTGTAATTTAGAGGTCCTTCGAACCCTCACCCAACTAATAAACAAGCAACCCTTTGAAGATCATTACAAATGCTTGTCCTTTAACTGGTAAGATATGGGAAAAAAGAAGTCTAGCCCTGGAGTAAATTATCGTAATGTTCCATAGACATGTTTCCTAATTTTCAATTTTCAGGCTTACATTTGTCAAGGTGACGTATTCTTATCTATGGACCATTTTGATTCGGCTGAGATATCATATTCAACAGCTTTAGAAATTGATCCTTCAATTCGCCGTTCAAAGTCATTCAAGGTATTGATTCACTTATCTTAATATGAGGAGACTATGGGCAATTTCATTTCTAGGACAAAATAGCAACCGCTTCAATCCACCAATTTTCAGGAATTTTGCCTTCTTCTTCTTCTTCTTCTTCTTTTCTTTCTAGTTTTTATTTTGGAGGTAGCACTGGGAAACAAATGCAAATGGTTTCCATTGAAATGTTGGTTGGAATTGGCTAGAAGAATTTTTATCGCTAATTTTTCTGTTTTTGAGGGAGAAATTCTTTATTTTTTTAGGTTAAAAAAAAACATTTTCAAAATGTTGCTCTCGTTGATGACAAACCTATATTTCAGAACTACTTCAAACTTAATGACAAACCACTTGATTGAAGCGTTTGCCATCTAATTTTCTCACTTAACTCTTTCAAGCATACCATTTTGAATATGTATTCTCGTCATTTTACAAAATATGATCGAATTCAGTTTTTGCCCAGTGCTGCTAGAATGCCCGTTCAATATTCATTTAATATTTGCACACCATTTCTTCAATAGGCGCGAGTTGCTAAACTTCAGGAGAAGCTCAATGCTGTGAGAACACAATAAAATCTGAGATGTGAATCAAGGAATAAGAATACTTGATGACAACAGTTCGAGATTCAGTCATTCCTTCAGGTTGTTTCCAGGTTTCAAATTTCTGACTCAGATTGTTGTTGAAATCTTAATTAGGTTAACTACATAGAAATTCGATGCAGTTTGGAGTTTCATGAAAAATTGATTGGGAATTCGTATAATTCTGCATGAGAATGCTTTTGATCCCAGGAAAAATAAGCGGCCAAGTGCATTGGATTGTAGAGTAATTGTTCCCCAATGGGTTATTTTATAGTGTCCTTCTTGTTCCTACCCTGTCACTATGGTCTTCGAGCTTAAAAAGAATTTGTCTAGAGATTAATAATTTTAAGAATTTTCAGGTTTGAGATAATTCCTAATCATTTTCATGTTGGAGGAGAAATCACGCAATTTCGCTATCTCACAGTCATTATTCTTAGGGCATGCACTCACATGGAGAAAGTGATTCCTAACATGAACAGGAAGATGGAAAATTTGATGCGGGTTCTGAAGTTTGCTTATAAATAGGATTGCTACTGGGCACGAATTAGTATAGCAGCGGAAGGGTTCGAGTCCATGGTTAATAATGTTCAAAATTTTCAAATCAGAAACTTCTCTTCCAAACTTATTTTTCAAGAAAGCGAACACATTTCATTTCTTTGGATACAGATTAAGCAAATAAATACACACTTTGGCCCCTATCCCGAACTCTACACTTGCTGATTTTTCTGCTTGGAATGTTTCTCTCTTGTGGCAATCTCAATGATAGGAAAACTTTATACATCTTCCATTACTTGCCTTCTTTATAATATTGTTCTTTCAACCAATGGGGAGTAGGTTTTGAAAGTGATTGATCAGGCTTTTGCCATTGAAATCGTCCCTTGACTTACAGTAAATAGGAACCTCTGGGATTGGGCATTTTCCAAATGTCTTTCCAGGTAAGAGTATTTGAAATTAGAAAAAAAAAATTAGAAATTAGAAATTAGGTCACGGGCAAAATAGTCATTTTGCCCTTATTACTTGAGGGGTCAGATTTGGTTGAGTCATAATTTGGAAAAGAGAAAGAAGAGGGGAGAGAAAGAGAAGAAAGAAGAGGGAAAGAAGATTAGGATTTTTGAGGAAGGAGGAGGAGATCTGATCAGAACTGACGCCGGAGATCCGAGTCCCCAATCTAAACCGTCAATAGTCCGAGGCAAGGTGCTCTCACTAATCGCACCTTCCTATTTCGTCAAAACGTCCAAGAACTTCAGGTTAGTCCACTAGTGTCTGCATTGAGAAATCATCAAGATTTTCATGTGTTAGCAACGTTTTGTGTTGATCCTTGGACTCTTACCCTCAACAGCGTTACCTGGTTAAATTCTGGAGTGAAGGCGGCCAAGATTGGTGTTTGAATCAGAGTTTCAAGAAAATGTGATTTTCGGTAAGAACTGTGTTTTTCTCCGAATTCGAACTCAAATATTATCAGAAAAATACAAGAAAATTATTTCGAAGGAGTAGAATATGAGACCTACAAGGTTCGTGTAGAAAATTTGTTGAATTGAATTACGGATTGGAAGATAAAAAATTCAGAAGAAAATAGATCAAAACGTGAAAGAGGCCTGGAAAATGGAAAAAGAAACGCATGAGAGAGGGTGGAGACCCCGCCACGCGTCGGCCGGCGTGCGGAGGAGCGCGGCGGAACCAGTGATCGACATGTGTCGATCACCGATTGGTGAGGCGTGCCCTCATCCAGCAGCGGACACGCGTCAGGCACGCGGATCCGGCCGGCTCGACCCGCGCCTGCTCGGGAAGGCGCGCGTAGGAATTGCGTGGAAACCTCCAGGGCGCGTGTGGGTGCATGAGACATTGTTTTTCTTCCCGTTCGGTCTCTGTTTGCTTGTTATCCGACCCGATTTTGATGCTGACCTTATAATTATGTGAATTAGGACATGTCAAGGAAATTCCAGAATTGTTGGAACCCATTCCATCAAGAAAACTCAAACTCAGGAAGGCACGCATCAACCAAGTAGCCATTTGGATTCCCACGAGCAGTACTTGTAGGAACCGCTAGGAACAAGCATGCATGCTACCACCCATTAACTTAGCTAGCCGGACCTAGTATGTTAGTATAGAAACTGCGAAAATGAAATGATTAAGGAAAGCTTGACATGAAATGTTTATTAAATCTGTTTGATTGAGATTTTGATAATGTATGTATGCATGAGGAGGATGGAAAACTTGTGAAATCTGCGCTCCGAGTAAAGATGGATGTGATCTTCCCGTTGAACATGTTTGTTAATATTGCATAAACTGCTGCGTGTTAACTCTTATGCATGATGATTGCTTGTGTTATCTTTCTTGATGAATAGGAAGAAATTACGAGCTTAGATTAGGGTGCTTGTGACTAAGTAGGCTAGATGAGACCCTAGATTGGGGAACCTCTAGAATACCATGCAATTAGGCCCGCGAAATGATTATCGGTGGATCCAGAGCCCAAAATTCCAAACCCAATAGGTTTGTGAGACCAGGCACGAGAATCCTAGAAATACATGAATCCAAGTCTAAGCCACCAAGTTCCACCCTAGAAAGAATAATAGGTCACCACGGTAACTATAGGCAGCCCGCTAGAGTTGAACAGTGTAGATAGTGTCATCAGAACCTCCACTTCCTTCTCTCCTCCGATACCGTACCGTCGAGATAGAGCTCCGGTACGGTGATCATTGAGCTTTGCATATCCGAATAGGGAAGTGTGACAGGTGCCCAACCCTAGTGGTGATAGCTAAGGGGTCTTCTGAACAGGACACTTGGGCCGTAGAAACTTGTCCCTGAGTGGGGGACGTGGAGCCACATAGGATGACTCAGTAGCTGACCGGTACACAGGGGGTCGCACCCTGTTTAGTGGATGTATGGTCCCGTGTGAGGATCGTCAGCTAACCTCCATGGATGATGGTCAGATAGAGTCACGTTTTCAGATCCAGCCATACAATCCCCTCAGATTTACTTATGAGGTCGCGCCTCACCTCAGGACACTGATCATTTCACTGCTTAAGATGGGCAAGCCTCCTAAGATACAGAAAAGAGAGTTGCAGCTTAGATCACTCTTTTTAGAAACCCGAGAAAGACCATGGTTACCTGCCAAGATAAGGATGCGAAAAGAGCCTACAAATAGGCTGCTTACTGAGTATATTTATACTCATTCCTTTCTACTCTTTGTTTTTTTTTTTTTCAAGTGAGTGATGTCATGGATCAATGCATGCTAAATCTTAATGCCACAGAGGAGTGTCCCGGGGTGTCTAGGAGTCTGTGCATAATTTTGTTTAGATCTGTCATGCATTGTTTTGTAAACCGTCTACATACTTTTCATACTTGAACACCTTGTTTCGGATTTCAAACCTTTTACATAATTGCTAAACTTTTTGTAATCTCGTCTTCTCTATTTGCTTTTACACGATTTCATTGCATAGTCGGTTGGTCCAGCCCTTGATTTCGAGATTTAACTTTTGGGCTGGGACAATTAAATGCCGATCTTTTTATCTCTAACTATAATGTCTAAAGTTAGTTCATTGGGTATTTAATATTGTGTGCTTGCTATTCAGCATTTAATGTCTAGTTTTGTTGATTACAATAATTGGCATGTTTCTTAATGCACAAGTCAACTTTATTATAAACAAACGCCCGAGCTTCAAAGTGTGAGAAGGGTGTAATACTAGAACTGAAAAGTTTGATACTTTGTCCAATTCTACATAATTGGCTTGGTTTTATCGTGCATTATGGAACTGTGAATCGAATGTGTCTGGCAGGATGCCACCATTGTTGTCATAGACTCAGGTTCCTCTAATTACATCTCAACTAAAAACAGATCAAAGTTGGTGTTAGAAGGTGAGTGAACTTCCAACTACTTCATCATTATGCTTTCTCCTGTTTTTTTTTTCTTTTTTTGGAGAGAATTTCATGCAGCTTTTTAATACTAGGGTTCTCATTGTCCATCCAATGTCACCGAGTTATTTATACGGGACTGGCAATCTTAAATACTGCTATCACTAAGTAAATAGATCAAAAGGAATTATTTAGGATTGGTGCTGTGACCACATAAAAACATGTCCATGCTCTTCACCTTTGCCCACCATCTGTAGGTCTTCCTCCGGCTGTTACTTCTCTTGTCACTTAAACTGTTGTTGACACCAGAATCCCGCCTGGATTTAAGTTTTCCAATTTGAAAGCATGCCTCCAAGGTTACTTCGTTCCCATTGTGGTCTTTGTGCTCACTGCTGCATCTACTCTCTTCCATTGCTTCATCTGTCTTCACAAGCTGATCATAGTACTCTTTATTCCGTTTCTCCAGCCCATAGATCTGAGCCTGAAGATCTTCAATTTTCTGGTTAAGCAGGTAAACCCTTTGATCATCCCGCAGCTTCAGCATACATCGTGCCATCTCACTTGCCTTCCGTTTCGTGAAAACGGACTCTGCTACCAACCCCTTGTTTTCCTCCATCAAGGAAGCCACCCTATGCCCTAATCTTGCATTTTCATTCAGTAATATGAGTCTCTCAGACTCCAAGACCTCAAGCAAACTCTTCTGAAGCTCTGTCTTCCTAGACGAATCACAGCATTGCTTTTCCAGGATGCTTACCTCATTTGTAATAATGTCGTACTCCACATTCTTGATGACAAGCTCAGCGAGTAAAGCATCGTTGTTTACCATAGCACTATTTTTAACGGGTATTACAGACACTTGCTGGTAGGACAGGGAGCTCTCCGCATCAGACTCCATCTGACTGATCCCTGAATCTTCAGCGCCATCAAATGATTCTAGGGTTGAAGTAACAGAAGACTGTCTTTTGTGATGTTTGGCGATGGTTTGGATGTAGCGATCGGATAAGGTGGTGTAAGCAGTGTACAGTTCCTGGAGAAGCGCTAGCAGTTGAGGGCGTTTGTTGAAGTAATATTCTGCACGTTCAGCAAAAGTGTTCCCAACATCGTCCTCTTCAGCATTTTTGATGGCAAGTAAATTGATCCTCTGCTCCATATCTGTCATAGCACATCATGTATCAATCAAGACGACTTAAATGCCAAAGAAATAAGAAAATAAGTACTCTACACAGATTGCCTCATTTTCCGATTGCAATAAGCCAAATAATGAATAATCATATGAACTAACTGACTATGCATTAGATTTGTTGGACACCTTTTAAAATAGTGTAATCTTGAACAGCTGAAAACTGTAAATATACGGCTCATTCATATGTTTCAAAACAATTATGTTCGGAGAGCAAAAGGTTTAGGGTTCAAATCTCACATTAATTTATCTAAAAAAAAAGTTCCAATAATCTGTTTGCCAAAGAATATACACTATTCAGGGTTGAGAGGGAACGAAAAACCAAGAGGGACAATATGTAATGGAGATTCTATAAACTGATTTAATATTCCAAAATCTATTGATGTGACGTTTCATTTTTCAGAAACGAACAAATGATATCGGCTATAATTTTATTAAAAGATATTGGGCAGCTTGGTTCAGTTTTCTTTTGGAACTGCAATTTTCTTTTGAAGATAAAGGAATGCTGGGCCAATAGCTATTGGGAATATAAAGGATAGAGGAACAAATGTTCACGAGGATAGCAACAAATTATAACTCAAAATTTTGAATTGCTGTCAAATCGTGGGGCAGAAGGTATGGTTCCCTGCGCTAGATGGTTCTTTTGGCATAACGTTGCTATCCAGGAAAACGACCCATCCATCAATACAACCTCTTATCAGAATATTACCATCATTTAAAATTCTATTAAACTATTTTGAATGGAACTTAACCTCTCAAATCAAATTCTTATAAAACTGAAACTATTCAAAATAATTTGAATTCCTAAACGAACAAAATGGCAAAATCTCCCAAATGAAAAAGGAAATGCCAATTGATTCACAAAGTTCAAAGTCGTCACGGGTTTGCATCAATCAGGCATATGATAAGATGCTCTTTACAGGAAAGTTGTTGAAGACTGCACATTGGTAGGGATGAAAGAACAGAAAGGTCGCTGTTCCGAATTCCAAGAAAGGTTCATGTATACACTCCTCCCTCCCACACGAAAGCTTACCTGGTTTGGTGTGAATTATAGAATTCCCTTCTCACAGTTTCGGAGTTTCAAATTTTAAAATAAAGTGGGAACAAAATACCATGGGGACGGAAATTCAAAATCAAACCTGTGCCAACTTCAGACTCTCAGACTATTCTTACTTCAAACCACCTACCCTTTCTACTGCAATAAATTCTCAACATGGATACGTAATCAGTGAGTAGGTAAGTCTTTTACTTAGGCTAAAGCTTAACTCCCACCCCCACCTCCCTGGTCCCAAGTATTATGGCAAGAGAACAAGAAAGAAATTGAAAATAAGGTAAAGGGGTGTGCTTTAACTTTCATGTCAACAGTTACTGTTACCTGCGAGAGTGGAAGACAACGTTGAAGAAGACTTGGCGCCGAGTATTACACTGTTTCTGTTGCTACTGAGAATATCACAAGATGGAGATGAAGGCCTTCGATGGGTCCAAACCTCTTCTTTCTCCGGGGACATCATTGATATCTCAAACGTTAGCCCGTTTGGCTGCACAATTCAACCTCCGGTTCCTCTCAAGTGCCTCTCCTCGCTCAAAGTGCATCAACCACAGAACACACTAGCAGCTGACAACACGGTTTGTGTTAACCAACCGACAAAAATATGTGCAAAACCACTTCAGAATAACCAAACATAAAAGGAACAAAATTTTCCAGGAATCAGGCAACATTAATTAAAAAATAAGGGCAAAGATAAGCAACACATGATTCTATCACTAAAAGGCACAAGCACACATTTAATTTTGGGTGCAAACACTTCAAAACCATTACAATACATGTGCCATCATTATCAATAATTTAAAACATTTATTGTTTGGTGCGAAAAACAATTTATAACTATCTTTAAAGTCTTCCATGGAAATTATTTTGCAATTGCAAATTAACTATTTCGTTAAATTGTTGGACAAACAAAGATCATTTATGTCGTGATTTTATTGAGTGTCAGGAGTAATGATAGTCAGTTTCCAGTTAAAAAGGCATGACCCATAAGGTCATTGGGGTAGGCGAGCACAAAATCCAACGCCATAAAAGAAGCAGACCGTACAAAAACCGACCTGCGCTTAGAATAGAAAAATAATAAACAGTGCAGTATGGGGAACCAAATTGAAATTCTTAAAAAAGTTGGCGAAGATCTCGAAAAATTTCAGCGGAAAGATAAACAAGTGTAAATCAAATCACAAAGTCTCTCAATATTCATGGTACCGTGGAGACCGTATTACTCAAATCCCCAGGTTATTATATAATAATGCTTCCTCGATTCGTTTGCTGCGATCTTTTCCTTTAGGCACTGGATCACCACAAACAAATCTGAAAGCATTTTATGCTACACTACTCGGAGAGCTAAAACATGGAAAATACTTTCCGACGAATTGGTACCTGCTGCGATTCAATTAAATGTTGAGATAAAAGATGAGAGCAGCTGAGCTTAAGATTGCTGGGTAGATAGGAAAACGGAAGGAAAGAAAAGGGAGAAAGAAATATCAGGGAGAGATGTTTGAAGAATAACGATTCCAGGAACCGGATTTCAGGAACCGCAATCCTCGTTTTCAGCTAGTAATTGAAGAACATCGAACGCTAGTGCACTAAACTACAAAGAACTTGTATAAACTTGAAATTATCATGCCTGGAATAAAAAAACCGAACAAAATGAAAACCGTCTACAGCTTAAGGCAACGCTGATATTCATCTTCTAAGCAACCAAGCAGGATTTTCACATCAGTGGACAGTAGACAGAAAAAGAGTATAACAGAGAAACAAATGCAGAAAGAGTAGTAGGTGATCCAGAAGAAATCAAGTAGTGTGGTAAAGAAGAAACCGTGAAAATGACCTAAAATGGCAGAGCCTCCGAATCAGTCGAAGGAAATCCGAGATAGAGCCATTCCGGCGAGAGGTGGAGGGTGAGGGTTCTGATCGAAAGAGCTGAGAGGATAAATGTATGTTTAAAATTTGAAGAGATTACGCATTTAACGAGGAAAGGAAATGAACCGAAAATAGAAAGCGAGGGAGAGGTTGAGGGAAAGGGGGAGAGAGAGAGGAACACTTCAGAGTTCATATAATAATAATAATAATAATAATAATAATAATAATAATAATAATAATAATAATAATAATAATAATAACAATAACAGTAATAATAATAAAAAAGGAGTTCCTTTTTAAACTTGACATTTTCCAATAACGTATGCGTTTCAAATGTTTGAATTTCATTTTGAAGACATGCCTTTATATTCTTTTTTAAGGTATAAATTTGATTATTTTAAACTTTAAGTTATAATTATTCTTTCCCACGTGGTGCTACTATAAATTATTTGAAATTAAAAAATAAGTCATGAGCTATATTTTAATTTAATATATGTAAATTAATTTACTTTTATTTTATTAGCATCTATGTTTTTTTCGAGAACAACAAATAAAGTAAGAAATTTTTGTATGTTACTTTTTATGCCCTTCATCATAAACAAATAACTTTCAAAACAAAATTTAAAATTCTTGTTCAACTAAAATAGGAATATTAATTTTCTGACTAGAGGTGCTCTATTGTACTCTATTGTTTTGGAGAGTTACACGTATTCTTTGTAGCTAGTTCTCATGTCCACGAGAGCGTATCCATGAGATCCCACATCGGTTGGAGAGGAGAACAAAACATTCTTTATAAGGGTGTAGAAACCTCCTCATGGACCCATTTTAAAAACCTTAAGAAGAAACCCAAAAAAGAAAGGCCAAAGAGGACAATATTTATAGTGGTGGGCTTGAGTTATTACAAATGGTATCATAGGCAGACACTGGATGATATACCAGCGAGGAGGCTGAACCTCGAAGGAGGTGGACGCGAGACGGTGTGCCAGCAAAGACACTGGGCCCCGAAAGGGGGTGGATTGGGAGCTCCCACATAGATTGGAGAAAAAAACGGAGTGTTAGCAAGGACATTGGCCCCAAATGAGTGGATTGTGAGATCGCATATGAATTGGTTTTTATAAGGGTATGAAAACTTCTTCCTAACAAACCTTTTAAAAACCGGGAAGAGAAACTAGTGAAATTCTAAGAAGAAAATATGTGCTTGGATGGTACTTCACCAATATACAATAGGTAGAAACCAGCCCTACTCCCACCCTAAATCCATTGAAATAGCAAATGAACTGAATAGTACAACAAAATCTTCATTTCGAGATTAAATTCAGTGAATTAGTGCTTCATCATTGATTTATAAGGCTAAAGCTGAAAACTAATCAATTACCATTAGTCAGCCAAATCAGTTCCTCCATATCGACAGCCAACTTGTTCCCCTTCTAATAGCCTCTCTACAACATCCGAAGTCAACCCAACCATCTCCATTGTTTTCTCCCAGACTTGGTAAGAAGTCTCGACGTTGTGTGCCTCTTCTGAAGGATTTGTTGGACGGCACTCTTGGGAAAGAAATGCACAAACAGGCCACTTATCTGCTTTAAGTAGTTCACAGTACTCTGGAACTTGAGGATCCGTGGCTGCAAAGAGAGTGCTTCTGGAACCTGCAATTGCCGAAGAACAATGGTGCATGTTTGATTTCAAATATCAAGAAGCATAGAGAAAGACGGGAAAGAAAATATAAAACATGCATCCGGGCTCAGCCAAGACATATTTGATTAACTTAAAACCATCTTCGTAGGATTTTCATTAATGCTGCTAAATAATAGCATACTCTTACATTTTTCATCAAGATTAAAACTAAAATTTGTTATCTGATGTTACTACTTTCTTTCATTTTAGGATAAGTTGAAGTTAAGAACAAAGAACAAAAAAAATATGAAAATGGTCTCTATGTGGCTCATAGGCAGCAAAGGCCCAAAGCATGCATCTGGATGGTACACAGTAATAGTATTTAGGTTAACCCACATGTCGAGCAGCACACACTAATACCCCCAAAAAGATTGACATGTATCGTATTTACTTGAGACAATAAAGAATGTCACCGCTTGAAACGACTAACCTTCTTGAGGACTAAAGATAAAATAAGGAATTAGGCCATAAGCAGCTTGAACAAATTTTGAAAGATCCCTTGCCTGCATCGATAGACAAAATTAAACTTGTCGCAATTCATATTGACTACATTCAGAAGATATAATTCTAATACCTGACTTATAGTGAAACCGCTCAGCACAATTCTATAGTTAATGATATTACAATAAGCTAGAAGGTACAGCAAATATAATATTCCAGACAATGGCCTATAATTTTTGGTAACATGAATGTGGGTTTTGAACAGTCATCATCAACATAAGGCTTAGCAATAATCATGTAAATTATACTATGTTTTGGAGTGGGATGCGAGCTAAACACAAGAACAGACTGCAGAAAAATTAACAACAGTGTAAGTTACAGCTCTCAGAGGGAATTGCATACAGATAAAGGGCATTTCAATAAGTGAACATTTTCTAAAAAATTTTAGAAGCAGCTGACAATTCTAGTAGAAACCCAATCCACTTATTAAGATGTCATTCAAATACTTCAGTAACATACACAGTATCAGTTAACAAATAGTCAAGTATCGTAACCATTTCTGAAAGATAATGATGGGATAACATTATATATGTGATTACTTCAATCTTATATCATACCAAGGGAGCAAGATTCTATCTCTGAAGTCTTGTTTCTGCTATAAAAGGCTAAAAACTTACCACATTGGTATGAACAATCCCAGGTGATACACACACTACATTGATGCCAGATTCAACAGGCAGCTTCTTATGAAGAACACTGCTAAACATAACCTGTAATCCAGAAGCCATCAGACCAAGCTACGTAATGTTCGCACCCATGAGAAATATTTACACAGCTTTTACAAATCAGTAGTTAAAGATCAAGCCAGAAAATCAAAAGGTAAGATTTGAACGCACAGTGAATATATCATCTAAGAATCAACAACTTGCCCGGTGAACTATTAGCAAAAGTAATTGAATAAATAAAACGGGGATATTAGTAATGTTCATTTAATATGATTGACAAGTTCAAGACCCCTTCCTGAAAGAATAGGATGTACAGGAAGAAGCAAAATGTGAAACAAAAATCACACAGATACTAGGAACAAGGAAAATCTTATATAGAAGAGACAGAAATTTCAAGGTTACTGAAGCATCCTTGATTTGTTGAATTAGGCTAAAGATTTTAACAAATTCACGTTCCCAAAGAGAGGTGCTTCGCCATGGATTTTGACATTTTAGAAGGGGTGAAAACAACAACTAGACAGAATAAGACCGTTGTTTTACATGTTAATAAATGATAAAATTTTCCAAGAAAGAAGAAACGTGGAATATCATGATTGAGTTCACAATAATATAAAATTACAAAAAAGAAAAATGAAATACAAGTACAAAAGGAGAGTTTTCGGTCATCAAACATGAGAAGGGCAAAAATTGTGGGAGGAAATGCGTAATTGCCGAGTAACATAAGTATACCTGTGCCAGCTTACTGCTCGAATATCCAACTAAGCTTGTGAATTTCCTTTTCGATGAAATGATATTCATGTCTTCCGTGTCAACAAAGCCAACATAATGCATCTGCATATTAAGCATGTAATGATGATTACAATGACAGAAACAAGCATCAAAATGATCAATACAAAATATCTATGTTGCCACCATGAATACATGATCTCTAGGAATAACTAACTAAGTTTTGCTTCCAAGTTAACAGTGGACACAGAGCTGTAGGAATTGAAACATGGCAATGTTGAAAATCCGATCGTGGATTCTCCATGCAATTGATGTGTATAATTTACAGAGATCTGGAAGCTAAATCATACCATATTTTTCCTAGGCTATATCTTTATTACACATAGACAATGTATGCCCTTAATTGTGCTATTTACAGGTTATTATCAGTTATCACTCATATAAAGCTACCAATTTTCATTACTTAACATTCAAGTGTCGATCACTTATACACGAAAAAAATCACTAACAAACAGTTAAGATAAAATGAGTAAAATAAAATTTATTAGCTAAGCATATAATGCATACAGATATGGCTTGAAACAGATTACCATTTCAATATATGCACATTTATACACATTATAGATGCAAAAAACATGTGTTCTATACTTTTGTATAGTGCCTGCGAAACTTACAACGGAGTTCACATTAATTATTCGGCTTGGGGAACCTCTGATAAGGGATGGCAAGAGTAATATTGAAAGCAATGCAGGTGCCAAATGATTCACTTGCAGGTGCTCTTCATAACCATCTTTAGAAAATTTTTGTGGCTCTAGAGACAACAAACTCAAATTAAGCCAAGACATTGGCACATATTTCTTCACCAAATAACAAATACTATTATAATCAAAACAATCCAATTGCCCCACGACTACAATAAGACGAATGAAAAGAAATGAATATTCAGAGTTATTTTATTTTCTGAAATCAGAGTTTTAGGAACATAAAAAGCATTTATACTCCTAGGAATAGTCTGCATGAATGTTTATAACAGAAAAAGGTGCACAAGAGCTGGAAACTAGTATAGAAATAGTAATCAATGAGCCAGATGAATGTTCCATATCACTAGAAACTTCAACAAAAGGCATTATGTTCTCAAAATAGAGAATAACAAGCACATATAATGGCGATAACAAACTATTTCAATGACAAAAGTACTCTCATCATCATCAATATAGTTCCTGTTACTATCTCCTCAACTGAAGAAAGTTTTACTATGAAAAGTAACTGACATTTGTAGATAACTTGGACAATTCATACGTGCCAATAAGGAAATGGAAAATAATACAAATGAGTTAAAAATTACTAACCTCCTATGGAAAATATTCCTGCGTTATTGATAAGAGCATGTAATGGTCCCATACGAGCATTATATGCTTCAGCAAATTTCACGACAGAATCTAGAGATAGAAGATCCAGTTCCATTACCTAGAAAAACCAACACATATCACTCATTAAACATAATTAGCTACTTGTTCTATTATAAAAAAAATCTGTAGAATTTAATGTTTTTTGGATAGGAGTTGTAGAATATCATTTGAAGTTCAGAATTCGTTTGATGCAAAGCTACAGAGTTCAATACGATTGCTCTTCTAAAAGGAATTAAACAACTGTGGATTTTAGACACCTCAATATTAAGAGGAAGGCCCATGCCAGACCATTCATTTTGCCACTTCTGAATCAAGTCAAGAGCAGCCTTTGGGTTCCTCACTGCCATGACAACATGTGCTCCTGATTCTGCCAGTTGCCTGCTCCATCGAAAATTAAAGAGAAAAGGAACAAATAGTTACCAAGTAAGGAACTGCATAAGTGTCTACTGATTCACGAAGATCAAGGAACGGAAACCCCATTCCGAATGAGCCGCAAAAGAATTGGACCCAAATAAGGGGCTCCAATCACAACGAACTATACACAGTAAGAATTCGAGAATAGTAGGAAGTAACTGGTTCCATAAAATTGAAATTCGTTGGGAAAGAGGCTGAGTTAAGCAGGGGGAGGAAATGAGAGAAATGAAAACCTGGCAATCTCGCGGCCAATACCGCTGGTGGATCCGGTGACAATGCAAGTAAGGTCGTTAACGGGAGGGAGAGGCATAGGATTCTGCAGATGGCTGGCCAGGATTCTCTGAAATAGCATCTCATGAATGACGTACATCCAACCTCTCAACCATTCAATCCAGCCCAACGCTCCCTTTTTGTTGTTGTTGTTGTTCTTCTCCTCCTTCTTCTTCTTCAGTTCATCAGAAGAAGACGTCAACCCCTCCATTAACATACAGTTGCTGCTCGCTAACTTCAATGTTGAGATCGGAACGAGCAACCTCTCTCTCTCTCTCTCTCTCTCTCTCTCCCCCCCTCTATATATATCTCTTCCAATTTTGTATTTTCTTGGTTTGGCATATACCGGAAAGTCGGAGGTATGTCATGTGTGTGGCCACCGCCTGTTCTACCTTCCACAATGCATCTAATTCTTACCCTTTTTCTCTCTTTTTTTCGTTGCTTTTTCCTCTTTTTCTTTCTTTTTTCCGCCTTTTCCACCAAAATTCGGATTCTTCTTCTTCCTTTTGTTATCTCCCAAGCAACTAATGGTCGAAATGAAATGTATCTATGCGCCTGTTAATTTATAGGCAAAAATACATATTAATTTAGGGTCTCAAGGTATATTAGAAGGTTGTTCGACATGCTAACGACCAGAAGAGCTACCATCTACCAAGATATTTTAAATTTTAAAACGGTGTGCTTTACAAATTTCTAAAATATTTGAAGGTTTATTAAAACTAATAATTATACCAAACGTGAAATTGAATTTCATGCTAATAAAACATAGATACTTAATTGGTCTATAATTTTATTTGAAAAAAAGCAAAATTAAATAAATATTATACTTTTTTGAGGTCGGAGTTGGAAGCCTAAAAATTTATTTATTATTTCTCAAGAGTTTTATATTAAATATTCACAATTATAATAATTTAACAAAAAAAAAAAAAAAAAAAAAATCAAAATCATTGCTAAAAAATTGGTTTCTGAAAACCAAAAACAATTTTGATATTGTGATATTTATCATTTCCACAATTACTATTCATCCATATATGCTTTCCTCCTCCGTCGCTTGCCCTAGCGACTAGCATCCCCAATTCTGCGTTCTCTCTTCGCATTCCGCAAGCCTCTGCCTCTCAATCCTCCATTTTCTGCATCATGGCTCAGACGGCAAGTCGATCCAAATTGCGGTGGGGGGAGCTAGATGACGATGACGGTGATCTGGATTTTCTTCTACCTCCCAAGAAAATTATCGGTCCAGATGAGAATGGCTTGAAGAGAACTATTGAATATCAGTTTAACGAAGATGGTAATAAGGTTAAGATCACAACCACCTCGCGTACTCGCAAGCTCGCCCATGCTCGCCTCAGTAAACACGCCATTGAGCGTCGATCTTGGGCGAAGTTTGGTGACGCTGTGCACGAAGATGTTGGCAGCCGCCTCACTATGGTCTCCACCGAGGAGATCCTTCTGGAACGCCCTCGTGCTCCTGGTTGGTTTTCGATAAATCTAGATTTTTTTTTTTTTTTTTTTTTGCCGTTGGTCGATTTCGGAAATTATAGTACATGATTTCTGTTGCAGCGAATACTTGCTTATAAATTAGTCTCTAAATGTTCCATTTTCTCCTATGGGGGAGAGCATAAAAATTTCTCTAATAACTGCAGAATATGTTGAAAAACTGGGTGCTTGATTATTGAATGCGTGTGAATGTATTTGGTTTCCATCTGAAACAAGGTAGAGATACTCACTTCTCGATGCCAGGAGGATAGTGGCATAGAAGTTGCAGAACTGGGCTTTTGTTTCGTGCTTTTAGGAATTTCAGGCTTGTGTTTGAAGTTGAACTGAATAATTCCAATGATCGATTATTGTTTTCTCTAGAGAATACTCAAATAATATCCTCTTAACAAAGGACACACGACATCTTTGAAATCACTCTATGATTATTTAATTTTTTTTTTACTTCGGTTTTGCGAATTTGCATTTGCACTTTTCATAGGCATTGTGTATGTATGTGCCCATTTAACACCCTGCTCGCATTTGTCCTTTTCTGGAAAAATTAGAAGCATATGTTTTTTGCCTTATTCCTATAGATTTTCTTCTGAGGAATGAAAATGAAGAATGAAAATGATTACAGGTAGCAAACCAGAAGAGCCGAAGGTTGCAGGAGACCCTCTAGCTCAACTTGGAAAAGGTGGTGCTGTTCTTATGGTATGTAGGACTTGTGGCAAAAAGGGTGACCACTGGACCTCAAGGTGTCCTTACAAGGACTTGGCACTACAAGGCGAGGGATTGGATAAGGCTGCCGCACCAGAGGCTACAGCTGCTGCTCCTGGTGGTGCAACGAAGGGGACATATGTTCCTCCAGGTATGAGAGCAGGGGCAGACAGGACTGGAACCGATATGAGACGTAGGAACGATGAAAACTCTGTTCGTGTCACCAATCTCTCGGAGGACACAAGAGAGCCTGACCTGCTCGAGCTTTTCCGACCTTTTGGTGCCGTTAGCCGAGTTTATGTTGCAGTTGATCAAAAGACTGGTATGAGCAGAGGATTTGGTTTCGTGAACTTTGTGAACCGTGAGGATGCTCAAAGAGCAATCAACAAACTGAATGGATATGGTTATGATAATCTCATCCTTAGAGTCGAGTGGGCGACTCCAAGGGCTACTTAAGTTGCCTTCGTTTTACATGCTTTACTCTTCAAGGTCGTGTGATTTGGTTACTCTTATAGCAGGGCCCCCCGCCCAACATTTTGTTACTTCTGTGTTCTTGAGCTTCCTTACGTTGAGAAAATGCTAAATTAACAACTTCCGTGTACTTGGTTGTAAAATCTTTCCTGCTGTTTAAGTAATGATTTTGATTGCTTAAAGTATTTTTGGTATATTTTATTGATTTTTCCTTATTTGATGTAGTTCATTTACTCGTACAAGGATTCATTCCTCCTTTCCAAATCAGTATTTTTAACAATAATTTTGCTATTCCAAAAAAGAATGTAAATTAATTTTAAAGATGGTGCAAGAAGTAAATAAAACGTCACATGTTTAGTCGAGAAATTTAGTGGATTTTGTATGGTGTTCGATTTATTTTATTTTATTTTATTTTTATTGACTTTTTTTTTTTATAAAAAAAATTATGGTAGAGTGTTTTTGGATTAAACTTTTAATTTAACCCAATGTGATAGCAATAAAATCCGTAAAGGGAAATAGATGCAAAAACTGTTACGGTTTTATAAAAGGCGGGAAAGAGGTGTATGTAATGCATGAAATTCAATTTACTCTCCGCTTCGCGTTCAATTTGTCGCCGCTCCTTCTTCTTCTACCCGATTTCTTCCAATTTGCAGAACACACCGTCCCGTAATCGATACTTGGAGGCAGCTCTGGACGGACTTGAGAAGCAATTCATGGTATGGTTCAGATTTATCGCCCCATTGCTCTACTCGATTCTTGCATGGCCATGACAATTCCTCATGACTTATTTTATTTTTATGAATCTTGCTGTTTTCTTTAGTTCATTCTCTTCTTTTGTAACACTGTCTTTGTTGATCTTCCGTGTATGTAGAGATTTGGACCAAAATGGAGGCACTGAGACTGGGCTGGGGAGTGAGGGTGATAATCGTGATGGTAATTACGGCGATTTTCTTTCGCTGCGTCACAGCAACCAACCATTCCGTTGGTGGAGCTTCCGGTTGGGATCTCAATTCCAACATCCTGACTTGGTCTGCGGCCACCACGTTCCAAGTCGATGACTATCTCGGTTCGTTCATTTCTCCTCTGTTTTTCCCCTTCCCTTTGAAAACCTCTTCAATGAAATCGTATAATTTGATCGTTGCTAAGTTCTGTTCGATCGGCCATTGTGAATTGTTTAGTTTCTACAAAGAACGCTTAACTTTCTAGGTCATGGTTGTGGGTTAATAGAATCTTTATTTGCGTGCCTTTTCTTCTTGAACTATATGCAAGTTCCAAATACTGACTGAGTTGACACAAGGGGATGTTTTCCCCAAATCCCTTTCTTGTACTATGATTTATAACTCATCACTTGAATTCTTTTGTTTCTGTCGCTGCATCATTCTAATTCTTTTTCTATGCCACATTTGTTATTGCAAACACAGTCGTTCTTTAGTACCACAACTGCATGACTCTGTTTCTTGAATCAATCTATATTAATTGGAACAAAAAATGAAAGCAAGGAATGTAGTCTTAATTGGGTTGATATTACCAGTCTTTACTAGTAGTAGAGTTGGGCTCATGATTTTGAAATAGTTAAAACCAGAAGTTAGTGGACAAAGTTTTAGAGTTTGATGTGTAACCTCTTCTCTTTGTTTGAATGGTGTGGGTCAGTGTTTAACTATTTGCCAGTTCACGACGTGCTGGAAGTGAACCGAACAGACTTCTCCAGTTGCCGCACAGTGAACCCAATCAGCACTCACAGTGATGGGAAGACAGTGATCCGCCTGGACCAACCAGGCAGTCGGTATTTCATATGCGGCCGGCTTCAATACTGCCTCATGGGTCTTAAGCTCCAAGTCCAAGTCCTCCAACGCTTGAGCGAGGCCAACAATTCAACGCCTATTGGTGCTAACCAATCTGAGCGCCTAAGTCCACGCCACCCTCCTCATTCTTCTCCACCGTTTCCACACCACCCTCCTCCTCGTTCTCCTCCACCGTTACAACTCCCACCATTGCCCGACCGTCCGGAGGCGCCATCACCCTGCATTTGTTCCGGGGTGGGCGAGATGATGATGGCAAGCGGGCCAATGACCTGGTGTCTGGTGTTGCTCTTCATTATGCTTGCAACCCGTCCTTGCTTTCATTCCTTGATTCCGTAGGCACTGCTTCTCCTTCTCCACCATGTTAGACCCATTCCAGAATTTTGTTTACCCACCGACACTCCGAATGCGTAGTTCCACGCAGGGTTTGTACTCCTCGGAAACTCCTGCTCTGTTCGCCGGTAGGTGATGCAATTCACGGCGAATCCCCCCTTTTGCTTTGGTTATTAACAGTGCTTACACAAAAATAAGAGATTCTTGGTTTGTCTGAGTAGGTTTCTTCTAAATTTTGTGAATGTTAATAATGAAATCAAATGTGCTTTGGTTTGGAGATGGACGTGCAGTTTTCAGTTGCAGCTGAAATGGCAATGGAACAAAATTGGGTTGTAATTGTATGTAGTTTTGAGAAACATGCCTAGTTGTAGAACAGAGCATACCATTTTCAGTTCTTTACAAACCTGAACGAATCCCTTCCCTTCCCCATTCAACAACTAATGGTATTCATTTGAAGTTCAATGGAAATGGCAACGAAATTATGTATACACATGAGATGATATAATATCACACACAAGACAAGACAGGACAGGACAGGACAGGACTGGACAGCACAGCACAGGACAAGGAAATGGGAAGGGATAATTAAAGAGAAGCTTCAAACAAAATGCACCTCCGAAATATACTTGGTTTTTTAAGCATTATTAACATTAATTAACGGCTAAGTTTCTGTACCACTAAAAGCACTACGTTGCATTGCCTGCAAGAAACGCTGCTCCGATTCTTGCCTCTGTAAGCGAATGCTCTGGTTTACCATTTCTATGAAGGCCTCTGCCCGGCTCTTCAGCTCTTCCGAAGTCAACGATACCTTTCTTCGGAACGACAGCGTTTGGTGGAACCTCTCCGACTTCCTAACCTCGTTCCGAGCCCACGCCACCGGGTCTTCCTCGTCTGCCGCGGAGTCAACGGCTGCTCTAATTAAGCGTGCCGGTGGAGGGGAGTCCCATGTCTGGCTCTTCTTCAGCTGCGGCGTCTGTTTCCCTTCCCTTTCCATGATTGCATTCCACGTGGCGTCCATCGAGTCACTGCCACCGCCACCGGCATCTTCTTCCTCCTCCACCTTCTCGCCGGGATATGCGCATAACTTTCCCGATGATGGGTCACTGAATTTTTCAGTGAGTAGAGTCGGGAAATCCCATTTCACCGGTTTCTCTTCTTCTTTTTGTTCCTCTACTTGTTTCCCCTGTTCATCCTCGCTCGGGATCCTATCCCAGATTTCTATGGAGCCAGTGATCGAAAAGTTCCGGTCATCATGCGTCCATTTATAGGGAGTGGATGCAGCAACATGAGTGTTTTCATGAGAGATGTATTTATTTTCGGATGCGTCCTTTTGGCGACGGAAGATGGAGGAGGCGGCGACGGCAAATATAATGAAGTTGAAAACGATGAAGATGTAGGGAGGAGATAGCCATAATCTAAAGGAAACCCATAAACGAGGAAGAGTTGAGATCACAAGAGTGGCTACTTTTGGGATTACAGCCACTTTGAACAAAATTAGAGTGGATATAATCCCAACCGACACCAATATCGATTTAGTAACCGAGATTGCCGTCTCTAATGTCATACTTACAGGTTTTGGTGACGGATGAGCCATGAATTCCGAGGATTCGCGAATTACGAATTGAGGAGAGAAGATAAAGGGGGCCGAGTTTAGAAAACAGCATTGAAAACCGCCATTTTTAACATGGAAAAGAAGACCCAGAAATGAAAAAACAAAAGAGAGAAGATTCCTTGAAATAATAGAGAGGAACCGGAAAACTGGATCTAAAGGGAAAAATCAAAAGCAAACTTTAGATTCTGAAAAGAGAGGGAAGTGTTGTTGAGAGAGAGCTTTACAGATATCAAGCCGAGCTCCATGGAATATGGCCTCCTCCATCGGTGTGAGAGAGAGAGAGATTGAGTAGCTGCCAGCGCCAGCGGGGCCTTTTTATTTAGCGGACTGCTCATCTTCCGACCAAACTTGAGCCATTTCATGATGCATTAGGCACCGTCGGATGTCCCAGCTCATACTGTTCATGTTATGCTGACAGGGACTTCCCATACCCCACGCCCTTCCCTTTTCTTTTTCCCTTTTTTTTTTTTTTTTTTTTTTTTTTTTGGATAAATGATGGACTCCCAATCGTAGTCCCCAAGATAATATATATTTAATCCATTCCATACAATTAACATTAATCTCCAAATTAAAAACTTGGAAATTGCTCAGATATTTTCCATTCTTTGTTTAATACGTGGACAAGACAATAACGGTATCAAATCAACATTAATACTATATAATAACACCTCTGAAAATCCCATTTAGGGTTTAGAGTTTAGAAGAATTTGAAAATTTTCATTTGTAAGGTATTTTAAGATTAAAAAAAAAAAGTTAAGACCCTACAATAATAATAATAATAATAATAAAAATGGGGTTAAGAAGGGAGCATAGAATGTTCCACCAATAATTTGAGTTTAAAACAAATAAGAAATTAGGTGACATTTGAAAGCCAAGAAAGATTCCCCTCATGAATTTATTTGAGAGGAAATTATTATTAATGTTATAATATATATTTGTGTATAAATGGGGTGCCCCTAACACCCTACACACACAATAGAAATAGAGGTTCCTAATTAGATGTACCTGATTTTTTTGTTGGATTTAATTTGTCATTTTCCTTCCTTTTTCTTTTCCCTAACCCATGCCCATCAAAATTATTAGTCTCATTCAATTATATGCCACCAACCACAATCAAACCACAATCTCCCGACTAATTTCAATTTCCATTCTAAATCATTCAATTATATGCATCGTAGTTTTAGAAGTATTCCTCATAATATTCCTACATTATAAGAAACGTTTGGTTCATTTTAGATATAATATCTCTCCTGAATTACGTTTGAAATGACTCAAAAATAATTGGATTAGATTAGGGTAAGAGTAAATTGAGAAATAGGATGATAATGAGTGAATTAACAAATAAATGATAAAGTGGAGGGATCCACCAGACGGCGCATGGACAAAACTGCTTGTCTCTATGCAAACCAAAATACAAAGGAAATTAAAGAAGGGTAATAATGCTCAAGAGGATCCAACTCCTCCATTTGCAAAAATAAAAGGAAGCAAAGGCCTAAGCAATGGGCTTAGAAACCTCCACTTTTGTGTGTAATTTTCAATCAATTATTCTTCCTCAATCCCACCATTTCTTTCATCATATGTCACACTCCACAAAAACATTATTTTTTTACTTTATTATTTTTATTTTCCGCTTCCAACCCCACGAGATTGGGGGATGAATTGGAAGAGGGAAATGGGGAGGGCCCAGGTGGGGTGTTCATAATGCCTGGGCGGCAGCGGCAGTGCGGCACACCCTTTTGGCTTTCCTCCCAAGTAATGTTCCTTTTCATTTTCAAATTTCTCATCTTTTCAACTTACCCCACTCTCAAACTCTTTCCACTTATTAAATATTATACCCTTTTCAAACATGAGTTATTTAAACTAGTTAATGTTTTCTGTTTTGGTCCGTTATGTATTTCAGTCAGCTTTACGATTTCAAATTAGAGATAGGTTTCTGCATCCATCCTTCCAAGCTATAAGAAATAAACCATAAGAACGCATGATTGCTTCCGATGAAATAATAACAACTTGAGTACAAAAAAAAAGCATATTTAAGAAGAGAAGAGAGGAGAAAAATGATTTGTTTGGAAAAAAATTATAAATACAATATATATTAGAAGCTATTGCACGAGCACATGGGTGAGGTTGGAAGGTGTATGGCATATATCACAAAATTATGCCACCATTTCCACCCTACACCTCAAAAACAAATGATTTGGGTCACCTAATACAAATACATAAATTTTATAGCTTCTGGTTGATCGATGAAAGTACTAGATGGATAGAAGGGATATATAATCATAAACTAGTTAATGTTTATCCATTTTGTACAATAAGACAAATAGTTGACATTCATACAAAAGAAAGGTGTTCATTGAACGAAGTACAATAATTATCTTTAAATTTAAATTTAATAGATATTTTGATTTCGTAAATTTTATTTAAACCAAAGATTCGAACTTCTAAAATTGATATTCACAACTCAAATTCGAGTAGTTCCTTTTGAAACTGCAGCATTATTTGATTGAGGTGATTCAAGAAAAGTAGATATTCTTCCTTGAGATTGGTCATTGGCAGAAGAGACAGAGACTGTGGGACTACTTAATTAAGACATACATTGATGCAGAGTAACGTGTCACTAAAAGCCTAGAATTGGGGAACAAATTAAAATTGAAGATACCGACGCACACCTATAATGACATATCAAAATGCTTCAATCAATGTATAATGCAAGTATTATAGACACGAACACAACAACTAGCATCAATGAATCCAAGGGGATAATCTGGGAAGCCCCCACCATTGAACTCTCAGCTTCTCAAGGTAGATTAATCAGTGGCTCTTAGTTAATGAACATGAATGATTTATTATTAATGAATCCAATTTGATTCTATGTATGCAGTTCGAACAAAGAATATAATTTAATCCCTGTTTTTAACCAAGTAGTAAGCTCCGAAGGCCAGAATCAGCACTGCCGCCGCCAAAGCCGTCGCCTTTTTCTTGCTAAATTTCAACCTCGATAATGGACTTGTTAACCTGGATATCAAGTTCTTTGGCTCACCATCATCATTGGGTGCTGTGTCATTACCCTCCGAGGCGGCGTCCGCCTTTGGTTTGCCGATTTCCGCCGAGCTGGGTTTCTTAGGCATCGTGATAGAAAGAACAGAGCCACCGAATTTGGCACGGATTTGGTCTGGGTATATATCCTTTGGGAGTTTGATTTCTCTGTTGAATTGCATCTTCTTCCCATCATTGGCCGTTAGGTGCTCCCCGGAAATTGCAAGGATAGAGTTGTTCTTTATCCGAACCCTCAATTCTTCTTTCTTGAATTCTGTTTCACAAGTGCAGTTTTCAATTTCAAATCACTAAGAATATAATGAAAATACAGAAGAGACCGTTAGCTGATGAATACCTGGGAGATGAACCTCAAGAACATGAACGTCGGAGTCGTCGAGTTTTTTCCATTTGCAGAAAGGCTCGAATTCCTCGTACGACACATTCGAAGCTTCACCTTTCTCCATTGTTGGTTTACTTCGCGGCTAATTTGATTGAATGCAGTTCATATGGTGACCCCTCTGTTTTTATATACAAGAAATCTGCAGAGATGGAGAAGAAATATTCTTTTGCAAGTGTCACACAAGAAGTTATGTGGTTTCTTCTGGAAATGGTTTCTTCATAAGCTTTAGAATTACAAACAAATATTCTTTACTTAACCTTCATTCCTTAATCTGTACATCACCATCGCAGCCATTCAACTTCAACTCTATTCATTGGTTGAAGCTTTGGATTGACCAACACCATGGATCGCCCTGGACAAAGATTGAGAGAAGCAAAATTAGTCCCTAAAATTTTCTTTTGGAGTTTCTGCAATCCAATACGTTACCTTTTGTCCTGTAAACAAAAAAGAAAAGAATGTCAGAAATAATTTCATAAAATACAAAAGTACTATCGAATCATTCGAATCAGTACTCATGGATACTTCTAGCATATACAGAATAAAGAAAAGTCATATATTATTGGATTTTCAATAGTAAGCGTTCATAAAATGATTATAATAATATGTTCCAATCCCTGATAATTCAAACATCTATTAAGAAACTTTATTGCGATGTTTTAGAACATTTTCCTAACTCCATTGATTCGAGGCACACACTCATTAACGTCCAAACGACTACACTTCCCCAACATTGAGCCCAGCTGATCAGCTTTGGCGTACAGTCCCAACAGTCCTCCGGCATGAATGAACAGAATCTTCCTCCCTTCCCACTTCTTTGGATTCTCAGACATGTCTTTCATCGTACCACAAACTGCTTTCCCGCTGAAAATAAGAAAATAAGACAGTCTGAGAGGTTTCCACATCTTTATAAAAAATGCTTCATTCCCCTCTCCAATCGATGTGAGGATCTCATATTTACTCTATGTATGTATATGTTGTAGGATGCATACCTGTATACTGGATCAAGAACAACGCCCGTGGATTCAGCAACTTCTTTTACAAAATTAAGCTCATCAGGCGTGCTAATTGCATAGCCAAGACCCTTTGCCTAAACAGAGAACAAGAAGAAAGGAAAGTTCATCTCAGTTTATTTTGTGGAGATAAAAGATCAGAACCAGCACAAAAAGAAGGGAAGAAGACAGAGATTAGGCTCCACAGAACAAATGGCACTAAAAAGGGGAGAAAATGAAAGGAAGATGGTTTCAATTCAACAAAATAATAAAAACGATGCTGCCAAACGTAAGCAAACCAACAACCTTCATGGATGAACTAAAAGTCCTACTTACATCTTGGATTTCAACTATATCGTGTGAGTCGACACCGGCATGAAGGCCATCGAGTAAACCTTGAACCAACTTGTAGAAGTAATCAGGATCATAACAAACGGAGAATGCACGAATCTGCAGGTATCAACAAACTTAAAATGAGAGGAACTAAGATGTAAAGAGCAACACCAAGATGATTGTAGAAAGGAAAAGGAAAAAAAAAAATAATAAATTCAATGTGCTCAACCATGATCCCAATGCTAGACCAGCGACTGTGCTCCCACTGAAAAGAATCAAAACGTAAGACATCAAATATTTAAGTATAATAGAACTACAACCAAGTTACTAAAAAGAAAGTAAACAAGGAAAAGGCAGCAATAAAGAGCCTGCCACAAGCTACTACAATATCATCAAACTTGATCTTGTCGATTCCAGTATCCAGTTGCCGGTCAATCTCCCTAATTGCTTCAATATAACCCCCGAGGATAACCAAAACACATTTATTACTTATTAATGTAATGATGATATTTATGCAATACATCAGTATTCGAATGATTATGTCTCGCTATCTTCGTAAGGAATGAAACCAAGAAAACTATTTATGCTTCTTCAGCATGATTGTCTTATTCTTTTCCAGAGAACAGTCAGCCATCAAATCCAACCACACCTAACATGGTAGATATTGTCCTCTTTGGACATTTTCTCAAGGTTTTTAAAACGTATCTGCTAGGGAGAGGTTTCTACACCCTTGTAAAGCATGTTTCGTTCTTCTCTCCAACCGACGTGGGACCTCACAATAATGGATAGGAGGAATCAAACACAGCCAAATCATACCAAGTTCCATGGGAATTCGATCCTCCAGTAGGAATAACATATGGCTTTCTTTCTTCCTTAGCGACTAATTTTGACTTTAGATAATCTGTTAGTGCCTGAAGTTGAAACCAAGAACGAAAAACCATCGGCATGTTCTCTCACTAACAAAAATCCAAAGAAGAACATGGTAACAGAGAAGAAATCAACAAACCACGCTTCCAATTTTTGCATACTCTTCCTGGGAGATAAGTTCAACATGAGCTCCCACTAACCGCTCAAAAAGGAGATTTCCAGTCAATCCAGGGTCTTGATTCACAAGGGCCTGCATCATGGACGTAACATAGGAGGATGTCAAATCATAAGAATAAAGAAAATTGTGAGAGGTAATTTTAACAAAATGTAATTTTGACCTTGGAAGTGCTTAGAATAAGATAAGTGTCAAGATTGAAATAAGTTTGAAATACTTTGCAGCCACAGCAGTAGCCCAGCAGTGATTGCTTTGGATGGCTCCTATGGTTATAATACAGTCCGCACCCTGTTGCAAAGCATCTGCCATCAAGAACTCTAATTTTCTGACTTTATTGCCACTCATTTGCATTCCTGAAAGATCATCACGCTGCATTCATTGTGTCAGCAATATTGCCACTAGTGTAACAAGTAAATAAGAAAAACGAAAAAGAAAAACACTACGAACATAAAAATAAATGTTTTAAGACATAATGCATGGCCGGAGACAAGGAGAAGCGTTATTTCAGGATGGGCAGATATGGAAAGAAAATACGTATTGGGGGCATTGTTGAAAACGTATTCTTTCTGTGGGGGCAGATACGAATATAAAAAAGAAAAGGGATGAGAATCAAAGAAAAATAAGTTGGAGTGAGCGAAGTGTTGTACCTTTTAAATTAATAAACGTCAAATATTATTATAGAAAATACAGTTCTAACAGTAATTTAAAAGCAATTAGAATAATACGAGGCTTCTATGTTTCATAATCATAACCAATTATTTATAAATTACATTTTTAAAGGTTTTATTAGAACTAATTATAGTAAACCATGACTCCTTTTTTTTTTTATTATTAATTTTGATCATTATATCTTAACAATAATACGAAGCACCAACAGCGCTACGGCTGTTTTAGAACATCTTTCCAACGTCATTAATTGGAGGCACAATTAGATCATCGTCCAAACGACGCCATCTTCCCGACAGTGTGGACTCAAACTCATCAACTTTGGCATACATCCCCAACAGTCCTCCTGTGTGAATGAACAAAACCTTCCTCCCTTCCCACTTCCTTGGATTTTCGCTCATTTCTTTCATCATTCCATAAGCAGCTTTCCCGCTGAAAGTGAAAAGGAACACAACGCACAGAATGAAGTTGTAGAATTTGGCCAAGTGTTGTGCCATATAAGCATATACCTATACACTGGATCCAGAACAATGCCAGTAGACTCAGCTACTTCTCTAATAAAATGAAGCTCCTCACACGTGTTCATCGCATACCCCAAACCCTTCGCCTGTTCACATTACGTGGAAAGAACCACGTGATTCATGCATGATTAAAGCCATCAATTTTGTCTTCATTAATCAACTTACTTGATGAACTTCAACAATATCATGCCACTCAAAACTAACACCAAAGCTGTCAAGCGAGCGTTGAACAAGGTCGTGAAAATAATTATGAGCGTTGTCGAATATAGAGAATCCATGAACCTGCAAAATTAAAACAACTCAAAAGGTATAACTGCCCAAATCCGATATTATCCGTTTTGTTCCCCTATCTAACCGAGGTAGGATGAAGCTTACCAGATGTAGAGTAACAAAACAAGAACAATGACAGAGTGAAGAAGGGCCTTACTTTTGCCTTAAGGGTACTTAACCATGACCCCAATGACAAACCAACAAGCGTGCCTCCACTGAAAACAAGAAACACCGGCAGCCACTTTTTATTATGTTCTACTACTAAAGCATCCATTTTCACTGATATTTTTAGCACCACAAGAAAGTAAAACCTGCCACAAGCTACAACAATATCGTCAAACTTGATCTTCCCATTCAGTTGTTCTTCAATCTCCCTAGTTGCTTCAATATAGCCCCTAAACATAACCAATGTCTACATAAATAATGGAGACAGACAGAGTAGTTTATATATAAGATGGAAGAATTAAAGCCCACCAATTTCCAAGGGTGTTAGTTCCTCCAGCAGGAATAACATATGGTTTTCTTCCTTCAGCGAGTAATGTTGACTTTAGGCAATCTGTGAATGGCTATGGTTTAAACACACGACAAAACACAAGCTATTAATCATTGTTCTGTTGTGTTCATCGAATCAAGCTCACACAAACAAGGGAAAGGCAACAAACCACAACAGAACCAAATTTTTTAAGATCTTCTATTGGGGCAAGCTCAACTTGAGCTCCAACTAACCGCTCCACAAGAAGATTTCCTTTCAATCCCGGATCTTCGTTTACAAGAGCCTACATCATTCATAGACACCAAGTCAGAATATTCGCTAAAACCATCCCACCTAAAAAGTGTGACAGCGGAAAGAAGGAAAGAGTAATAACCTTGGAAGTGAATAGAATAAGATAAGAGTCGAGATTGAAGTACTTAGCGGCGACAGCAGTAGCACGACAGTGGTTGCTTTGAACGAATCCTGCAGTAATTATGCAGTCGGCGCCTTGCTGCAGAGCATCCGCTATAAAGAACTCTAATTTTCTGACTTTATTCCCACTCAGTTGCATTCCACAAAGATCCTCCCGCTGCAGCAAATCGTTTTCAAGTAAAACAGTTCTAAATATTAAGTTAAGCAGCAGCTAGGAAGAACATAGAATTAATGAAAAAAGGACCTTGATCCAGACGTGGGTATTCTTTGGCAGATTTGGAAGGTTCCATTTGTGAATGGGAGTAGTAAACTGATTAAAATAATAATAATTAAAATGAA